CCATTTTTGGTATTCTTGATAACTATGTATCTACTAAACGAAAAATAACGTAAAATATATTTTTTGTATTGCTTTAATATCCTATGGATTTTTTTATCGACTATATTACTAATAACTGCCTCGGTGGTGTAGTGGCTAGCATGTACGGCTGCACACCCGGAGGTCCTGGGTTCGAGTCCCGGGTCGGGCCAAGTTTAGTTATCGAGTCTTTCTGTATAAGTAAGCCTCAGTAACAGCACGGAGTTCGGAAGTTGGCGGTGTTTCACCCCCGTGCCTCGGAAAGCACGTAATGCCGTCGGTCCTGCGCCTTTACTCTCACTGGTCGTGTCGAGTGGTCGTCCTACCGGAGTATGAGAGTAACAGGAATAGAGAGTGAGAGACTTGTGTCTGCGCGTACACTTGTGCACGATAATATCTCCTGCGCAGTTGGCTAGTCTCAATGAGATTGGCCGCCGTGGCCGGAATCGGTCAGGAGAACATCATCATATTACTAATAATAAATCAGAAAATGCGGCTCAAATAACTTTTAAAGTTACAAAAAAAACCGGTCTAATAGCTATTTAGATGGTAATTCATTTTAAGTACTACTTGCTGCAAATAAAGACAAGTATCAATCATAGATAAGTCATCACAGGCTACACCAAAATAATAATAATCTAATAATAATTAAAACATCACTGCTACTAGTCAAACATGTTTAGTGAAAGCAAAATTTCACGCGTGTTCTATTTCTTTGTAGTGTCGAGAGTAAGAAAAAAACTATGGCGCGACATTTATTTTAATATTATCTACCAAAAACATTCTAGAGGTCATAGTTCGTAGCTGTACAATGTACATACGTTCATAGTGTTGACATACAAATGTTATAAGAGTAATACTTTTCTGGTCAAAATACGAAAAAATATAAATGCGATGTCGACAACAACACGTAGGTATTTAACAGGGGCAGATTATCCATAAGGCTGTTTAGGCAACTGCCTATGGGCCCCGCATCGGCTAGGGACTCCACGCACGGAGAAAAATAAATGAATAATCGAGTGAAAATTTAATTATTTTTTTTAAATAAGTGAAAATTCCACCATGAGGACCAATGCAACAGTTAGATTTCTATGAAATCTACCTAATAGCGTAATTACGAAAAATGTATTTTAATAAGTTAGAGAAGGGTAAAAGGCCCCGAGAATTGCATTGCCTAGGGGCCCCCGGCATGGTTAATTCGGCCCTGGGTATTTTAAATTATTTACAACAGGTGTTTAGAATATTGTTCAGCAAAAAATATTTTTTATTTATCTTTTATTTAAATATTTATGAAAATAAAGTGTAACGTTGTGATGCAGAAGATTTAGAACAGCTGCCATAGCAAGTTTGTATCGGCCCTCGTCAAATGACCGTTAGTACATGCATAATGCCAACCGCGAATTGCTCCACTGACGTAATGACATGCTCACTATGGTCAGCTACGTGCTATAACTGAAACTTTACAAACATACCAACTGGGTCAAGCACACTCTAAACACAGAATATCAAAAATATTTTTAGATTTACATAAGTGCTTGTTGTAGCACTTCTTAATTGTTTACTCAATTATATATACTATTCGTGACAAGCTTTAACAGAATGCTATAGATATGTACCTAAAATTTTTTTACCAAATATATGTCATATATTAATAGTGGGTGCCTTATACATACGATAAAGTCTAACGGATTTGATCTATCCTATACTTTTCCGTGATATATTTAACACCTGGCTGATAACTCACCCCACCGAAAAGCTCCTGCGTTTCATGCCTGCACTTTATAACCGATTTCAAAAAGGAAGCGGTTCTAAATTCGATTGGTATTTTTATGTATGTACACCGATTACGCTGAGATTCAAACCTATCAATAGGTAGCACATACAAATAATAGTATTTTATTAATATTAAAAGGATAAGGTTTGCATAAGAGGTGTATTAAATTAAATCTTTATTATGTTATTTTATACTTTTTAGTTTTTGAAGTCGGTTTTTTTTCTATTACTATTATTTTTTTAGTATATATTTTCAATTTTACAGAAATGTATCTTGATCGAAATACTGTTTATATGCTTTCTTAACATCGTAAAATATTTGTTCATGAATCTATCTCCTTGCAGCTGCACAGTGATTGAGATACTATCAATCTTCTTAGCGTTGGCCTACTGAAGGTCTGGGTTAATCTTATTCAAACGATCGACATGTTTTTGCGGACATTCACGAGTGATCCATCACAAGCGGGCAACTGGGTGAGCTGTTTGTGATAGAGTCCGCCAGGGCCGTCGAGTAGGTGGCCCTTACGTTTCTATTTAAAATAATCAGAATGTCATTTTGTCATTATTTCTTTAACTTACCTGACCTTAAAGAATTAGATGCATCAGGAAGAAAGATCTTAAAATGAAATCTATACATATAATAAAAGTGATAGGTGTCTGTAAATTAAAGATATCGGAGAAAAACTGTTATTGGATATCTTTATTAACGCAATAGAACCCATAACATTGATTTTTAGAATTTTTGTCTATTTGTTGGTTTGTCTGTGCGTTTGTGCGCGCTAATCTCAGAAACAGCTTAACCGATTTGAGTGCTGTTTTCACTAATGTATTGTGGTAAGATTCACTTAACATTTAGTATTTGTTTTATTTCAATCGGTTTATAAATAAAGAAGTTATATCGATTTAAATAAGGGATTAACCGGAGCGAAGCGAGGGTAAATCGCTAGGTAATAAATACATTTTACTATTAAAATAATGAATGTAAAATTCCAGCGCATATTTTATCAATCGTAATTGTTAAAATTCGTTGTTAAAATTTAGATATAGTCCAATCGCAATCTGGTTTGGAACCAAAATATTGAAAACTTGAAGTTTTATGATTTTAAAATGTTAGCAGGTATATAAGGAATAGAAATTCATAAAATGCCCCCGATGCCCAGCTACCCCGGAGAAATGGCCCCCCATTGGAAAAAACGAAAAAAAAACGGTATTCTAAGTTTTTAATTTGACGCTTATTATTTATACAATGTCACGGTAAACATTCCAACTTTGCAATTTCACGAGTCGTGAAAAAATAGAAATGGCTAAAAATTTCGAAGATTCCCTTAGTTTCATGAAAAGCAAAAGATTATTCTAGAAATTAAAAACAAAAAAGCAAGAAAAAGTAAAAAACCGAGATTTCTGCAAATATCTCGAAAACTTTGAGGCTATTGTAAAAAGTGTTAGTTATAAAGATGTAGATTTTTACTAGACCTACAACTTTTGTAGAAATCATGTTTCGATCGAACGTCACAGTAAGCCGGAAATTAAAAAAAAACAATTTTTCAACACTTTGCGTCACCCCCCCATTTTTCCGGGGTAGCTGGGCATCGGGGGCATTTTACGAATTTCTATTCCTTATTATACTGCTACATACCTGCTAACATTTTAAAATCATAAAACTTCAGGTTTTCAATATATATTTTTTCTCTTAAAAATAAACGGATTAAGATTTGTCTAATAGTGGAAGTGGAACATACGGATATTTTTATATATTAGAGTAATTTTTTTTTTTAAAGATAGAATGAAAATTACTTCCATAAATTAGAAGAAGCCTTAGGAAGTAACTGATGAAACATTAAAATAAATATAAAATTAAAAAAAAACATTTAGCAAAAAAATCGGTTCACGCATAAATTCAATTACGAAGAACCAGACCATGTCATATCGACAACCACAAAGAGATAAAGCGATACTGCACAACGCCGGCGGTAAAATAATGTGCTTTGTTTCATGCAATACGGTATAGGTACAACTAATTCGGTCATAGCTGTATTGTAATAGTTAGATTCCAGATAAGGTTATGTACACGATCTAACTATCGGAGACACAGATAATGAAAATTAGCTTTTGTTTGCTGATTCGTTTGTATTAAGATATTATAGCACTTATGAGCGTTACACTATAGTTGCACAAAATTGTTGCATCAAAACGATGTACCTAATTGTCACAGATAAAAGCCGGGACGGCAGCGACTGGTGATACCACCGCGCCTGGGAAGAGTAACCGTTAGCGAGTTCAATGGGAGAAGAGTGTGAATATCTTAATTTGCAGTAAATGGCTATTGTTAGGCGACGATTATGTAATGATTATCGTGAGTAATATAAGTAATTGTCATTTTACAGTTACATGTAACATGGGCTTAGTGGGTTCGTAAAAACATTTAGGTAGATACATGAACTCTACATTCACTTTTACGACAAAATAAAAGATCTTCCTATACCTATATATAATTACTTAAGATTTTTTAGTATTAAAATTTTTGCAAGTCTTAGCTTTTCAGCTTTTGACTGCAGCTTTTCAAACATAATATATAGTATACATATATATCCATATATTTTTTTCTCTTCAGTCCACAAACACTTAACGTAACCATAATATGGACCCGCATGATAGAGCTATGAGGGTGCAAGCAGTACTTTGCTCACATAAATGAATGATATCATGTACTTAGCTTACTTAGTAATATTTTAAAATTCATCAATCAGTATCGTTGTTTAAGCTCCTACTTAATTCCCAATAGCCTCCGAAAATGGCCTAGTTTTTTCTTAAGCACTATAATAAGGTATAATAAAACTTAACAAAACCTTAAAACCAAAAAAAAAACAAAAATTACTTATAACCTGACACTAGAATGTCAAAATATTATGTAGACACCGAAACAGTTATCTACAAAACTTAATTTAGAATAGCTTAGCGTATAAACTAAATCTTATTAATCCGCAACGGCTACGCACGTACGTCTTCCTATAATATTTTCCCATTGTCGCCTTATCACTGAACTTTCAATGAAATTATCGATTCGATAGTAGATATTTTTTTTATGTTTATTTTTAATTTTGTAATTTAATTTTGGATGCAACCCATAAAATAATAAAATTATATTTTTTATATTTAAATACATTTTAAATATATAAACTATATATAAATATTATAATTATTTAGCTTACCATCATCTGGCTCAATTTCAGCAATTGGAAACACAAAAGCTATTTGCAAAATTAATCCTACTACTAAGACATTCACGGAAGACACCATTATGACTAAATTGATGCGTTTAAATTTCTCTATTAATCACTACGGTATTTGAACGTCAATCGATTATACATTAATCACTTAATGGCTATTATAGGAGATCGTAATTTTGCGTGGCGAACAACCTTCTCTAGCCGCGAGCAAGCGTGCGCCAGCGCAGCTATGTGACTTCTGAACGACTAACAAAACGATCAAACTGAAAGGTCTAACATACCGAGTATAATATAACTTTTACAAAAGCACTAACTAAAACTTCATGGTTGGTAATTACAAATTACCTTCAACAACCACCTAAAAGTAATAAAAATATAATTATTGAACAATAGATGTTATAATATATTTAATAACATGCAATATTTTATCAGAAAATTATAGTAGATATATAAATATATTATTAAGAAAACATTTAATTTCCTTTAATATTTATTTATTATAAAGATTTCGTTGTAATAAAGTAGGTGGGTACATTACAGAATATAGACCTATTTTATGAATAGATTCAACTACTTTGGGAGTAATGTAGGTAGTTAATATTTATCAAAAATATTATTTTAAATTATACATGAAATATTGAGAAAAAATGACCTTTTCATAAAGAAATATAACTATATGTATTTACAAACAAAGGGTAGACGCCAATGGATCGACGCATGCGTTCTGCACCAGCGCGCGCATTCTGTTATCATCTGATAAGCTCATTCACTTCGTACACCTTTGGATCTAAGCATATGGCTTGCCAAAAGTAGTATTAGTATGAAGATATAAAACAAAGTCACGTACAATGGGCAATCAGTTTAAAAACGTGGCAGTTATAGCCTGTCTGAAAACATTACTTTTCATCTTTAATATAGTCTTTTGGGTAAGTTTATTTCAATTCGTAAGCCTACGTTTAGTTAAAATTATTTCCATACTGTAATATTCGTTACTACAATCTATACTAATATTATAAAGAGGTAAAGTTTGTGAGTTGTGAGTTTGTGCGTTTGTGACGTTGTAGGGGTAGTCTCTGGATCTACTGAACCGATTTAGATGAAATTTGGTAAGAAGATAGTTTGAGACCCCGGGAAGGACATAGGATACTTTTTTTCCGGAAATCAACCCTTAAGGGCGTGAAAATGGGGTTGAATGTTTGCATGGGGAATCAATCAAAATCATAGGGACGAACCCGAGCGATGCAGGGTGAGTTGCTAGTATATTATATTTGTTTAAAATACCTGATGAATTTTGTCTCAAAACTGGAGAATGTCCACTTAGCAACGGTAACTAATACTGCTAATACACAAATACGTAATAGATTTAAGCTTATGAGTTATTTATTATTTAAAAAAAAAATAGATTATTATATTTACAAAAATATTTTTAATGTAAATTAAGCCATACCTTTACAGCTGACGGGGCTCCTTATCCTGATAGTAGGACTATGGGCTGAGTTTGATCTTTTTAAATACATGGAGTTGTCTTCCGATTTCTCTGGGACAGCTCCTCACGTGATCATCGGAATCGCGGGTCTGATCATCCTCATCAGTTCCGTGGCTTTCTCCTGTATTATCAAAGGACAACCTGTGTTGCTCTACATTGTAAGTGATAATATTTCATATCATAATACATGTTATGCTTACATATCTACAAAGTACCTACCCATTATCTATACATTTAATACAATGGACAAAAAGAAAGTTCGGTTAGTTGTGTAACTTTTAAGCTGACTGTTAAATATTAGGTATTATTATTAGTATTTTTATCTTCTTCTCATATAATTTCTTTCTGTCTCATTCCTTCTCTAAAGCTCTATTCCCATACTAAGGCTTCGCTCGCGCACACATTCATACACACTTTTATCCCCTATTTTACCTCCTTATAGGATGAATTTCCAAAAATGCTTAAAGACGTATTTATTTAATTTTACGGAAGAGCATTAATACAAAGTTTCAAGTAATTCTCATCATAAATATTTTTTTAGATTGTATTATAATTTATAAAGTGTTATCCCGTGGGAATTAGATAATCTTCCGCGGTAAAAAGTAGCCTATATCACTCTCCAGCCCTCCAACTATCTCCACACAAAAAATCACGCCAATCCGTCACTCCGTTTCGATGTGAAAGAAGGACAAACAAACAAACAAACAAACAAACAAACAAACAACAAACAAACAAACAAACAAACAAACAAACAAACACACTTTCACATTTATAATATTAGTATGGAAGTATGGATTTATTTTATTTTAAATATACTTCATTTTAAATTACATTTTAAGTATACCGGAAGTGACGTCATAAAGACATGAGCTGTCCTTTGTCCACATTTCAGTTAATTTTTTAGTATTGTTACGAATATTTTGGGGTACGAATATTTTGCGGTACCTACTAGGACTTATACAGCAATTTTCCGTAATTCCGTAGAAATAGTGGTGCAGGAATATTTGAACCCATAAGTATAAGTATCTAGAAAAATATAATCCATCTGTATATTTTAGTAGAAACTTACCCTGACTTCTCTCGGTTATATGTGCGTAAGAGTAGTTTTTGGAATAACACATAACTCCAGATCCATAGTCTGTACTGAATTTCATCAAAATCCGTTAGCATGAAGGAGTAAAAAACATACACACATTTAAACTCTGGCATTTTTAGTAATGGACTAATGGTAATAAAATAATTGTTCATCATGCTCGCTTGAAAAACCGAGTAAAGTGGGTTCAAATCTCGGATGTCGCACATCTTATATTTTCATGTGAGAATCATTTCCAACAGAATTATCACTTGTCTTACGATGAAGGAAAACATCGTGAGAAACCTGCATGTCTGAGAGAAACTAGCAAGTTTTCGAAAGACATGTGCAGTCCGTCAACCCGCACTTGGCTAGCGTGGTGGACTATGGCCTGATCCCCCTCATATTAAAGGGAGGCCCGTGCTAAGCAGTGGAACGTTACAAAAGGGCTGAACACACACACAAGCCTAACTGGCCCTATATTATAAGAAATTCCTTTCTGTCTTTAATTGCCTGATCGAAAACATTAAATATTTATCTTTAAAGAACAATTATATATTTGTCTTCTCATTAATACTTACTGAACAGTACGGTGGCTTCCTGGTATGCATTTTCATGATGGACGCCGGAGTGGGTGCGTCGGTAGTTTGCTACCGAGACACATTCGCCAAAGGCCTGCACGATGGACTCACTCACACGATTGCAACATATGATCCGCAAAAGGCTAACTTCGACTTCGCTCAATCCAAAGTATGATTTTCTATTTATGAATATTTATACATGTCATAAACTGGTCATAGCTTTCTACTTTAATTTTTATTAATTACAATATCACTATCTTTCATCATCAAAAGCGCTGTAGGCGTCTTAAAGAAAGCACAAGTGCCTAAATTAGGTAGTATATTAAGTATCATGTGTGTGATATTGATTGATGATTTTAAGTCTGTAATTGACCATATTTCTCTTCTTTTTTTTTAAAGGAATGAATGTGTTACTAAGCCCCTTAAATTGGCCGTAAAATATGAACTATTAGAACAATCCTTTTACGAAAGAAAAAGTTTTACTATGAAACTAATAGTTTTACTTAAATAAAATTCTAATTTATTAATAACAGTTACAATGCTGTGGGGTTTCCAATTACACGGACTGGATGCGGCTCTCACCTCAACGAGTTATTCCTATTTCTTGCTGTCATAATACGAACCACTGCGTTACGGCGAACTATAGCAATGTCTACCAACAGGTAAGTCACGAACTCAACGTTTAGTTATCATCATTCTCAATTGTTGTCAAAGTGTTGGTTTGGTATATGGTTTTTCTCATTAAAATTATTAAGGTGGTTTTACTTAGTGTCTTACCTTCTGTTTCAGGGTTGCTATGAAGTAATAACGGAGTATTTGACGAATAATATGAATATTTTGATTGGAATTGCCATTGGTACAGCGACACTACCGCTTCTTGGAGCATTGCTGTCTTGTTCCCTCGCATGGTACATTAAAAAATCGAAATATGACGTTATCAATTAAATCTCAATCACTGGCAAATGAACTACTTACTACTACTAATCTGGCAATCTTTACCATTGACTGAATAGAATTATTCAATAAATAAATGTATTTAAAATATGTATTTTAAGTATATATTTTAATGTTATTAAGTGAAAATCATAAAAAAAGTCTATGTTTATTCATTAGTGATTGTTATTGATATTTTAAATTTTAATCTTTCCTTGATAGATATATTAAAAATATACTCATATTTCTTTCATTAAATTATATCTTATTAATAAAATAAAATAATTGTGAACATATAATAAGTTTTATTGTAAACATTAGTGAAATACACAGTATAAACATTTAGTGGAGACTTAATCGCTGTCTGAACTATTTTTGTCCTCCTTAGGAGCGACAGGGACTTCCTGTTTGTAATGCCTGTACTCTGGTTTTAATTCCCACATATTTTTGTGAGGATTCTTCAGATTATAGTTACATACTTCTTTTAATATTTCCTTCAGGTATATAATTGGTTGCCTTGTAATCTGAAATGGATATGTATGAGAATAATTATATAGATAAAGAGTAATGAATACAAACCAAAAAAAACTTAATTTAATAAAAAATATTACCTTTTGCAAATCCTTAATATTATAATATTGATGTTTCTCAAATGCTGCAAAGAGAACATTAAGCACTGCTTCCTTATCATCACGAGCTTTCTTACCCTCTGCTTTCTTCCTCTCTTGATATTCAATCTTTAAGAAAAAAGCAATATACATCAAAGAGATTAAAAAATCTGTCATGAAGAAAAAAAATTAAGTAACTAATATAAAAAATTAAATAACATACATTATGCTTATGATCTGATACTGGCTTAAAGTTTTGCACTATGCGTTCTAATTGCTGCACTTGTCTTTGAGGCATAGATGCTTTTCTGATAGACTCAGACTTTAATCTATAATATGTAGGGTCAGCATTATATGGTTTGCATTCTAATTTTTGTACTATTCTTCCCTCCATATAAAGTTTTTCTGATTCAGGCACTACAGAATCTATATTTGAAGCTAAAAATTAAACAAAATATAATTATGTCACTAATTTGTAACATATATTTAAACTAAAACATATTTTTAAAGCAATAATAATGCTTAAGGCAGTCAATATTATGATACAGTTAATATCAAAATCATAATAGCTATACTTACGCACGACATGCGAGAATACTCCTAATGATTGTCTCGTCACATTCGACACGTCAAGAAGATGTTCTTTAGGGATTGTTTGTTCCCCAGGTTCAAGGCACAAAACTGCCTCTGACAATGATAACTGTACTTGTGCTCGTCCAGGAACTCGAGAAATTTTTAATTTACCAACTTCAATATCTCCTGGAGCTTTATCCCATTTATTTGCAATATACTTTGGAACCTTAACGAGCCAAACACCGCGACCTGTGTTTGATAAATCCAACTCACGGTCGACATGGGGAGCATTGCTTGGATTACTCATAATATTAAAAATACATAGAGATCATAAATTTAAGATTATACTTTAATTTTACTTTTCGTTTATTAACTTATTCTAGTTCTAGTACAAACAAACAATTTATAATATTCACTAATTCTATTCTGTATCGATTACCGATTTAAGACTCGTACCAAACATAAATCAGATTTTTATTTGTCAATTGTCATTCAATCATCACCTTTCACCCATGAATCAGATTGTGGTGTTGTCAAATGTCAGCCACTAATTAACAATCCAAATGCCAATTGACACAGATAAAAAAAATATTATTCATCTGTGGAGATAAGAACAGACCAATGATCGATCAGATTAAAAAATTAGAATTATGTCCAGATTTACGGGCTTCATAAGCGACAAAACAATACACACAACAATTTTAAAGTATGTAAATTTAATGTCTAGTCAAATGTAACACAATAACATTCGTCGCAAAAAATTCTTAAGAACTACAGTGCTCAAGAGTGTGAGTAATTACTTTATATTTACTGGGGACACAACGTAAAAAATAAATAAAGGTGCACCACAAAAAATTATGTAGCTAATTTATTGTCACTGTCAAATGTCAATGTCCAATAACGGAATAGTTAATGTCAAAATTCACTATCCGCTTGTGGATTTTGTTAATGATGTTGATTATTTCCGAGGATACATGTTTATAAATTTTTAAATCCTCATTTCTTATAATATGATTTTTTATTTTCTAAACTTTAACGTAGAAGGGTTTATTTAGTAGTAAAAAGTAATGTAAAGACATGTTTGGCTATAGCAAAGAAGCAGTTCGAGTGAAAGTCAAGGTTTGTATTGTGCATATTGTTTAAACATATTTTTTTATAATAAGGCTATGCCTATAGTTGGATTCTATTTATTACAATATTTTTAGTAGACTTATATAGATAGTATCATTGTTATGCTAAAAAAATCAATACTGGAATTTCCAAATCATAAACGGAGGATATTTCAATTATAAAAATGCTTGACCATTATTTAAAATTACAGAAATGCGAAGGAAAACTACAACCAGAATTGCGAAAATTCTCAGTGGATCCCCAAATAACTTCACTGGAAGTTTTACAAAGCATTTTGGTGAAAGCATTTGATATAAAATCTGATTTTACTTTATCTTATAGAACTGTAGATGACTATGGACAAGAAATATATTTGCCTCTCTTATCTGATTGGGATTTGGATGCTGCTTTTCTTAAGTAAGCCTTTTTCTTGATTAACATCTTTTTATCATTAAAACATTAGATATAATTATATATTATGTAAAAACTTTAAAACTTTATGTTGTATAAACTATATTTAATAATAATGTGTAGGTACTATATTTAACATATTTCACTTATTTATCAGGGCTCATAATATAGCTTTAACCCAAAGATCAGAACCATGTGTTCAGTTAAAAGTGGATATGAAGCCATTTGCAGAGGCTTCAGAAGACTGGGAGCCACCTATTATATCTACCCCAGTTACCCAAAACTGTAAAGAACAGCCTACTGTAAATCCAGCAACACAAGTAGAAAAGCAAGAAACACAAACTGGCTTCCAAGGCTTAATTATGAACCATGTAAGTTAATGTTCTTTCTTTTAAATTTTAACACTTTAAATCATTTATTACAGTAATTAGTCATAAAATATCAAGGATAAATTCTGTATTATATTATGCAAATATATAATATGATATTTGGGAGATATGTTTACAGTATTATAATATGTATGTATTTCAAATTATATATGTGTAGTGTATCAACTATCTGGTAAGGATAACACTCGAAGCTTACTATGGAACTAGAAGGTGCTGTGTGTTGATGTCCCAACATATTTATGTATTTATTTACTTTACAGGTAGAAAAGACTTTCAACATGGTTTCAAGGGCTCTAAATTTGTATGATGATCCTAATACTCCGCCAAGACCTCCTCTTAGTGATATTGAATTTAGGGCCTTTTTAGATGCAGTTGGTCAAATTAATAATACAACTAAGCTAAGAGAAGTCATCTATTGTGGTGGAATAGAACCCAGCTTGAGGTAAGTATTTTGATTAAATAAATATTTTGGACAGATTATAAATGAAAAATATTGAGTTCAATATTATTCCTAATACTTGATTCAAAGTTACACCTTATTAAAAGAATATACTTTATCACAGAAAAGTGGTTTGGAAGCATATTTTAAATGTATACCCAGATGGAATGACTGGTAAGGAAAGGATGGACTATATTAAGAGAAAAGCAAATGAATATTATTCATTGAGAGCTGAATGGAAAGATTGTATTCAGAAAGGAAAGGTAAAATCTGATGTGTTTTTATAAGAACAATACCCATATATTTTTTTTGCTTATTACATTAACCATGTCAGTATCAGTAAACTTAAGTTTTGCCCAAGGTCAAAATCAAAATCTAAAAAGTTCCTTTTTTATTCGGAGACATAGAAATCACATGGACATGCTTGTCATAAATGTAATAACAGTGTATTTTATTGTAAGTTTTTTTTTAATTTCTTAGGTTAATGCAGATTTGGCTTATGTAACGAGTATGGTCCGTAAAGACGTGCTCCGGACAGACAGACATCACAACTTCTATGCAGGGAGTGATGACAACCAAAATATTGCCTCTCTCTTTAATATTCTTACTACGTGAGTTTTCTATGCTCCTATTACATGCTACAAGGATAAAGAGATTTTTGTCATAATTGTACTTATATTAAAGTCAAAATATTTATTACAGGTATGCATTATATCATCCGACTGTAAGTTATTGTCAAGGTATGTCGGACTTAGCTTCTCCTCTATTGGTAACAATGGGCGATGAAGCCCATGCCTATATCTGTCTTTGCGCACTTATGACTAGATTATATCCCAATTTTTTACTCGACGGCGAAGCCATGACACTAAAATTTTCCCATTTAACTGAGTCTCTTCAAGTGTATGATCCGGATTTCTACAATTATTTAAAATCTCAGCAAGCAGACGATTTGCTATTTTGCTACAGATGGCTTTTACTTGAAATGAAGCGTGAGTTCGCTTTCGATGATGCCCTAAGAATGTTAGAAGTTTTATGGGCTTCATTACCACAGAAAGCACCTGCCATCGAATTATCTTTAAAAGAGAAAGATTTCGACGGTACAGTAGAAATTACTATCGATCCTCCGCCGCTCAGTCCATTAGTAAAAGCACCGCGAGAAAATGCCTATACTAAAGTCTGTGCTATAAGGCGACAAAGTTCGAGCTTCAGTCTAGCAAACGTTAAGGCACCTAAATTAGCCACCACCAAACAAACTAATCACAGTTTAGATGAAAATGCCGCTAGAAAAGCTTTAAACAATTCTTCTCTTAAACACGCAAAAGAATTTCAAAGTCTTGATGACGCTGCTTTACGGACGCAGAAAGTATCAATAGATAACGAAGATAATAACGAAAACGCAGCAGAAATTACATCGACAATAAACAAAGATATTAAAAATAATTCAAGGATGAAAAGTGTACCAGAACACGGAAAAGTGTCTGAGCTTCAAAACTCAACAACAGCTTGGCCAAATACAGGAAGCCTTACAAATGGAACTACACAAAATGATATAAAAGATATTCCCTTAGGAAATCAAATTAGGTTACTGAGAGACAAAATATCCGTTCATAATAAGTATTTCTCTTCTCTTGATACGCTCGACGATTCCAACGCTACCGAAGTTACAAATAAACCCAAAGTTAGAATGATAAAAAACTTGAATGAATTTCTTAATTTTGCTACTGGGAATAAGATTGCTAATATAAAACATGAAAAACTTCAAAGAACTCATTCTGCAATTGAACGTAAAGAAGGCCCCAAAATAACTCTCACCAAGACTTCTTACGAAGAAAATGACTTGCATTCCCTCACCTTAAAAACGCAAATGAACAAAATTTGTAAAATGAGCTTTGATACAAACGACGGTAGCAGTCCTGATGATTCACAAGAATATTACCCAATGACAACGTCAATGACTCGCGAGCTACGGTTGGAAGTAGAACATTTAGATCGCCAAGTTTTCGGCTTGTCATATGTGAACCGTTGCAGTATGATATGTGATTCACCCTCAGATTCTACGAGCACTGAAGATAAGCCAGAGTATTTCACAGAAACAAAAGAAAATTGCGGCATCACTAACGCAGTCGAACTTCATGTTGATACGGTAAACGAGCCTGTTGATATCTTAAAAAGATCACCGCTTTTAGACACCATAAAATCAAACGCAAGAAGTGCCGAAGATATATATTTGTGGGAAAACCCATTACACAGAAATACTCCAACGACCAGGACCACAGCGAGCTGCCCTCAAACTCCTGATGAACAAGCAGAGTTAGATTTTGATGGCGATACTGGTGAGATATTCGAGGAACATTCTGGAAAAAAATCCATAACACCTATTAGATTATTGAGAAAAAATCATTCCTTAGAACCTCAAGAAGTTTGCAAGAGGCCTTCATCCAACACACATTCCAGCGAATCTGACTCATCTGAAAGGGATCCCCTTGAATCTCTCAACACGAGTACCGTAAAAAGTACTAAGCTACAAGACGGTCCTAATTCTAAATCAAACAAATTTTTTTCTAATATGTCCCATGAACTCGAAAATGCAAAAAAAAATTGCGAATCTCTTCTTAATGTTAAACAATCAAATCTGCAAAGCGTCGCGTCTACTATAAACAATTTCCAAAAAAAGTATGAAGTTTTTAAGCCGCCTGTACAGAAAAACCCTGCTGTTACTTCTGTTGGGAGTGACCACTCCGTTAAGAACAGTATTGGTAGCCTTCCCTCGCCATCGGTATTCGGGGGCGGCAACCCGTTTTTAATGTATTTATGTTTAACAGTATTATTACAGCATAGAGATTATATAATGAGAAATCGTATGGATTATAATGAGTTAGCGATGCATTTCGATAAAATGGTACGTAAACATAACGTGAACAGGGTATTGAATCAAGCGCGGCAAATGTATGCTCTGTACTTGAAACACCAAGCTCATAAGACTTGTGACGTTACTACTTAAACTGTCCCTTATTAATAGAAAGATCTCCAATTACTTTAGTTATTGCTCATTTATACAAAATATAGATTATTAGGTTACAAATTGAAAATACAATGTTAATTATAATTTAATCCAATAGTGGTATAATAATATGATTATGTGATGTCCCTTATGGTAGGAAGAAATGAGGCCTTATTTTATGTCATTAATGCGAAGAAAAGTAGAATTGAGTTATTGATTTTTCTGTAATGCATTTATTTTGATGAGTTGCAACTATAAGGTTTGATTGTGAGGATTCTCCGATAAATTCGAAGGATTAGTGATTCGATATCCACACCTGAAGTGTAATATAAAACGTAATCTACAAAGTGCCCAGAGGGTAAAATAAAACATACGAAATAAATTTCAATATCTTCAGATCACCTACATTAATCTCATGCAAATTGATTATAAAAGTATCTCTCCACGTTTTCTAATAATACTTACATCAAATTATAATGAATTTTTTACATCAAAATTGGGTCATTTAGACCAATCGGAATCCGTTTATTTTTAATAGATTTTTTTTTATTGAAAACCTGAAGTTTTATGGTTTTAAAATATTAGCACGTATATAAGGAACAGAAAGTCGTAAAATGCCCCCTATGCCCAGCTACCCCCGAAAAATGGGGGTACGCAAAGTGTTGAAAAATTATTTTTTTTCAATTTCCGGTTTACTGGGACGTTCTATAGAAAAATGTTTTCTACAAAAGTAGTAGGTCTAGTAAAAGTCTACGACTTTTAAAAATAACATTTTTTACAATAACCTCAAAAAATAAAAAAAAACTATGATAGATCCTTATAGAAATATGGCATCAATTTTTAAAATTACCCTTTAATCTACTGTGCATCCATTAAATGCTAAAATATTGAAGAAAAAAAGAAAAGGATCCTTTTTTATTGAAAGTCGAATATCTCAGGAAAAAAACGACGTAAAGAGTTAAGTAAAAAATTTTTTTTTTATTTACATTTTTTTATGATTTTTTAACAAAACTATAACTAAATTTTGTAAATAACAACTTATTTTTTTTTTATTATAGTTTTAACTAATGAATAAACAAGGTTAGACTATGAATGAATTTCTCAGGGGTAGCTGGGCATAGGGGGCATTTTACGAATTTCTACTCTTTATATACCTGCTAACATTTTAAAATCTTAAAACTTCAGGTTCTCAATATTTTGTTCCCAAACCGAATTCCGATTGAACTACATTAGTCAGTAAGCCACGAAACTTCTTAACATTCTTAAAAATTAGTCTTGTACCTATCTATTATCTATACAAATATACTTTTATATAATTATTATATTATCATACATTTCCTTTCCGAATTAAAGAGAATACTAAGCATTTTAGTCGCACTTGCGATTTTATAGAACGTGGGTTATAATTGATATGTATGTATGTATATTGTAATATGTAATAACTAATAACATAAAGCTGTGGGAAATGTAATGTAGGTAATAATCGTATTGGAAATAAAGGAGTACGACTAAGAATCAATAAGATTTAAATATTTTGGTCAAGTATGCAAGCAATACATTACTTTTTTATGAATAATTCTACAAAATTTGAAAAGACTGTGTCGAACAAAATGCGTAATATGAAACAAGCTGTATGAATATAACACTTCGCGCAAATGTTTACATTGATTCTTACTATAGTTGTACATAATATTATTTATATTTGATTTTATCCTTCTTTTGCATTCCAAAGATTAGGAAGTACCTATGTATATTATTTTTACCTGCTTGCGAACTATTGTGATACTTTTTTTTAAGTTTATACATCTTAAATAGTTTACTTATTTTGCCTTATATACTTAGTATTTATGCATTTCTTGTCAGCTATGGCTTGTGGGATGATAATACAAGTGCACAATGCTCAGAATCTTGATTGTTATATTGTACAAATATACATTTAGGCTTAATAAATCTAATTAAAATTTTAATTATTATCGTTAATTCCTGCTATATGTACTTAGAAATATTGTCTCCTTCGTCATATGATTGTATCTAAATTTCAACAATAGATGTCAACTACCGCGCTTATGATTATAAGACAGCTTATTTTAAAATCTGTAAATAAAATATTCAGAGCTACATTGTTTTCTTTTTAAAACAACCTCGTCTATAAGGTAATAGCACAGACATTAATGACAATTGACAGCCATTTTAAATAAAACTCTTTTCGGACTTCATTAAAAACCTAATTCTAATTAGGTATATTTATTTAGTTCGATTTAATTTTCAAATAAAATCGTAAGCTCAAACAAGTGAAATTTATTATATTCTATAAATTAAAACCGCCCTGGCTTTACTCAATGAACCATTTAATATTTAAAAGCCAATAAGTATATAGTTGATTTATAATATGCCTACATCAGAAACAGGAAGAAAGATAAATAAAACAAAAATATACAGTTCATGAAATACTCATCAAATTTATTCCTAAAATAATACAGCGAAATTAAATAGGGTTTTCCTCCTCCTCATTTCCTAACATTTTAAAATATCACATTAGCTTCCACTTTCGAACTAACATCGAAATGAAGCACGAACATTTTTCTAAGGTAAGCAAGCATATTTTATCAACAATATTTACTGATTTAACAGATAATGACTAAACTATAAACTTTGTTATTTACTTCCGCCTGTTTCCGCCGCTTCCAGAGAGGATCATCGCAATGCGCATAAAGATGTTGAGTACGTCCAAGTATACAGAAATTGCTCTGAAAATGTTTCATTGAAAATTATTAGGATAGTTCACTTTTTCCATCGAAAGATATTATTATTTTATCATAACATCATAGGACCTATGCACACAACGACTTTTAAACACGCCTTGTATACGCTACGGATTACATGCGATACGCAATGATTTTTTAGAATATGCGCAGAACGTACGTTACGTTTATTAAACTTGTTGTGCATAGGGTATTTTATTTATAGGCGCTAACTACGCTTAATATTCGTGGTGTGCATAGACCCTTATATAACTAGCGACTCGCTCTTGCTTCGCTCCGTGTTCGTCCCTAGACAAAAACAAATTATCCCAAGGGCACCGTAAATTCTGGGATTAAAAGTAAACTATTTGGTATTCTATATAATTTATATCTGTGGCAAATTTTATCCAGATCGGTTCAGCCGTTTTGGCGTGAAAGCGTAACAAACATCCATCCATCCAGCCTCAGCCTCACAAACTTTCACATTTATAATATTAGTATGGATACTTTAACATTACTCATTGTTTAAAAATATGTTTCTCAAATCTTAACAGTATCTTCAATGAAATATGATAAAACGCACGTAAGAAGTTAATACTTCTTTGGCGTAACTGAACAAAAATAGCTAAAGATTTTATCCCGTATGTCACAACTCTGTGTTTGTAAAAGGAATGCAGCTAACTTCATCATGTCACTTTCAGCTAACTTCATCATGTCGCTTTTTGGCTTTCGATGTGCGCACGCATCGTAAAAATTTTACTGTCATAATTTTTCCAAATGTGCTAAAAGAAGTATAACTTCAAAAATTCAAACTTGTGTATATTCTTGTTTATTTATTTAGCATATGGTTTGGCTAAAATAGTAAGTGTGCCAACACAGTATACTTTAATTATATTGAGGGCTTTGAAAATGTGCCAAGATTTAGTATGATAAATAAAATGATTTAGTAATTTGTAACATAATATGACAACATAAAAACCACTCTGTTTATGTAATATTAATTAATTATTTTTTGTGATTTATTCTACTTACGAGTTAATAGGGTCATATTGCTGGAAGCCATAAACAGGGTGCATCTCCGCTCGTTTAATAATAGCCTGAGTGTCATACAGCAGGAAACCTCCAAACACAATGAGGCCACCATACAAACTCAAAGAATATAGTCCTAAAAATATAAACACATTTTAGAAAACATGATTAAAACTGGAATTAGAAATTAGGATCCTATTATACTCATGTAAAAGGCTTTTATGTAATAAGTTAACATTTGGAAGATAAAGCAGTAAAAAAAATGTTTTTTATGGATATTTTATAAAAAAAATTTCTTCACCTGCTCCAAGAGCTGATGTTGGTGGTAAGAACATGCCAGCTAGAGAGGCAGCAAACACTGCTCCCAATCCCATGGCAAGAGGTGCTCGCATGTTTAAGAACTCCCCAGACGGTGCACATACTGCAATAGTACTTAAGCCACCCACTACACCTGCTGTGTACCTATATGAAATATTTATATTTTTACGAAGTATATTTATTTCATTTAAGTTAAAGTTATTATTTGTATTTATGTTACTATGTCACTAAACAAAAATGGAGATATAATACCAAAAATTGTTACCTACAACAATATAATGTATAACTGAAAGAGATTATGGAAAAGATTTTTCGTAATACATATATGTATGTTGCATTTTGTTTATATTTTACCTAATAATTAATAATAATTTTGATGTAATGATTTTTTTTCATACAAAAATAAAATAATTAAGTATTGTTTAGCTAGTGACCTATCCAAGGTTTGCCTGGGTGCTCTTTTGTGCCTATGACAAAAACACTAGCCTATGTGTTACCCAAGACATAATCTATGTACTAAATTTCATCCAAATCTATCCAGCAATTTAAGCATTAAGGAGTAACAAAGATACAAACACACACATATTAAATATAAACTTTCTCATTTATAATTGTAGTCAGAAAAGGTGATCAATTTGTAATATAAAAAATATTTTATTGAATTTATCTCACAAAAATAATTACTCTGCACTCTAATTTTCTCATATCTCATCAAATAACTCTTAGTTAAAAAAAACTTACCAAGCAGCACGGACAAGAATAGGTCCTCCAAGGAAACAGATAGGTGCAATACAAGCACCCATTATGCCAGTATGTGCCATCCAAGCAAGTTGCTTAGCACCAAAACCTGGTTTGTACTCCATGCCTCTAACCACCATACCAGAACCAATCATAAGCCCCATGGTGACTATGATTGACTGAAAATGTAGAAATTTAAAAAATATCAGTCTCCTTATGTATCCTTTTCAAATTAAGTACATTAACAATGTCCATTACATAATCCTAGCAATTACATATTTAAAAAAATATTCAAAGAAAAAAGTAGTAGTATAACTCTTTGCCAATGTATATAGTACATATTATAGTTATTATAAGATAGCTTACCACCCATCCATTACGTGCCACTAAATTAAGTAGCGCAGGTGTTCTGAAGACAGTAATGGCACTGCCTGCTGTTAACAGCAGGGATCCCGCAATATAACCATATGTAGATTTGATGCGATCCTTCACATATTGTGGCCATAAACTAAAATAAAGTATATCAATTAATAATTTATTTAAAGTGAAATTAGTTAAATGTTCAATATTCTAAAGCTTTAGATTATATATGAATGTAACAAACATGCCATCAATCATTTTATCAGTATCAATATTCACAAACTATGGTTTTAATAAATGTGACTCACTGAGCTTCTTGTAATGTGCCAGGTTTAGCTCCAGAGCCATAATAACATAATGCTACAAGACCTATTGCTGATGCTCCTGCTAAAGCTCCTTTCCCCAAGCTAAAAGCTGAAATAATAATAAATCTATTGTCTATTAATGAATTTTATTTAGAATAAGTATATTACTTTCCTGTAATATATAATATGCTTTCATTTTTTTAATTAATTTTTTTTACCATTGGGTCCAGCAGGTGCCATTAGTTTTTCCCATACAGTAGGTTGTGATCGGGTAGCTACTCTAGAGCGAGGATCGCGTGCATAATTCCTTACTACATAGTTTTTCGGAATAAATCTTTGCGGCACTGGGGTTTTTAAAGTATGTGAAACTGTAAAAGCTGAGCGAGCGACGCACAAACGGGAGAGCATGATGCAACCTATAAGAAATAAGATTCAATGAAATATAGATGAAACAAACTTTAATCATAGTTTAATTAAATTTTATATCAGTTTAAATACAATTTTATGATATAATTGAAAACTCCTATAAAATACTATACCTAACAATTAAATCTACTTACCGGTATTTATACACAACAATTTTGTTCAATTATACACACGACAGTTATAATAGTATTTCTAGTACTGACTGTCAGTAATCAAAAACGAAAATTTGAAGTGTAAATAACATATACGTAATTTGTTTCGCAATGCGTACTTCGTCTTCGTTATTCGCTCAAGTTCTAGAATATGACATTTGAGACTCGACAGTCGACAGTCGACTTAGATTTTGACATTTAATTTCTTACTAAATGCCAAATTATTTGACGTTCAAAATCTCTCACTTTGCAAATCTCCTCGACTCTATTCAATAAAATGAGCATAGTTTATTTACAATTTTAAAATACTTTATACTTTAAAGTTTAAATATAACATTTTATGCGATTTTATTTCAGTATTTTTATTCCTTTTATTGTAAATATTTCATCTATACTAATATTACAAAGATAAAAGGTTAAGTTTGAGATTTTGTCAGTTTGTGACGTTGTAGGGAGTAATCCTAGATCTACAGAACAGATTTAGATGAAATTTGGTAAGAAAATAGTTTGAGACCCTGGAAAGGACATAGGATACCTTTTATTCCAGAAATCATCCCTTAAAGGGGTGAAAATGGGGATGAAAGTTTGTATTGGGGAGAAAGCTAGAGACAAACCCGAGCGAAGCAAGGGTGAGTCGCTTGTTACCATGGATGACAAATAAAACTTGTTACTTATATCTTATTTATGTTATACGCAAGTTACTGTTTTTATATGTAAGGTCAACATGTCTCACTCTTCTAAAAACTTGCTTTACTGGTAAAGACTAAACAACTTTACTAACTTTGTACTTACACAACTAGCCACTTACCCTCACTTCACTCGGATGCATCCCTAAGTACCTACGTTATAATTTCTTTGAGCGGAACCCTAATTCTTTTTCTAAAACTAAGGTAGCTTAACGTACTTCTTATAACATCATCTGCCAGTGAAAGTCCCTTCAAAATCAGTCGAGCCGTTTCAAATTAGCTGGAATAAAGACAGACAGACAAACATTTTAAAAACTGTGTACGACCGTATATATAATTCCTTAAGCATGTCTTAAAAAGCTGTTACTTTGATATTATAAACAGACACTTAAAAATAAGCTCGTTGAGGCCTTGGCTATCATGGATTACTATTGACTGATAAAAATAAGTACATTATAGGCATAGATGAATAATAATTATAAGTAATAGTTTTGATTTATACGTACACTAGCGACTCACCCCCGCTCCGCTCGGGTTCGTCCATACTTACGTTTTAACATTTACTATAGATTTCTCAGAGATGTGATATTCTCGCAGTAAAAAGTATCCTATATGTTGACCCGGATAACTAGTTATTATCATACCAAATTTCATCAAAATATCTCCAGTGGTTTTTGCGTGATGCAGTAACAGAGAGACATACAGACAGACAGATAGACAAAAATTCTAAAAACTATAGATTCGGCCTCTGTATCGATAATAATGACTATTAATTGTATTTCAATAAGATTTTTCAAAAACTATTTAATGTACAGCATTCGGCGTCGTTACAATTTTATTATATGTAGGTATAGATAAATAATCAACATTTTAAGATTATATTACATCCATCATTTAGTTTGGCTCAGTTTGTAGTGACGTTACTTGCTGTGCTAGCGGTCGCGGGTTCGAGTCCCGCTGGGGGCATTCATCAGTTCATCAGTGTGATGAGCACGAATGTTTGTACTCCAGACATGGGTAATAGGTTTATATTTATAATATGTATGTATTTAAAGTTACATATGTGTGTAGTGTATCAACTATCTGGTATCCATAACACAAGCCTCGTAGCGTACCATGGAACTAAATGGTGTTGTGTGTTAATGCCCCAACATGTCATTATAAGACAAGGTAATGATTATAATAATTATCTGTGATAGCATTATAGGTGGCGCCAAAAATAAATGGCATAGTTTCTAAAAAAAATAAGATTTCAGTCATCAATAATCAAATTGAGCTTTTTAATAATTTGGAAAAGTTGTAGTTTCTTTTGAGGAATTCAAAGAAAAATTAATGTGTTTGAAAAGTAGTTTGATATAATATTACTTATACTTTAAAGAGTGAATTAAAATATAAAGTGTTTTAACACGTAGTCGTAGTGACAAAATGTTTGACGTTGGAAAAATGAAGAAAGAATATTTAAAAATCAGTTAAATAATAAAACCTATATCAATGTTTCTTGAATATATTTAAAGTGCATTAATTCATATGAAATGTGTCATTACGAGTACTAATGTTTTCATTGTATAGCTAACATTTGTTTTAACCTTTTTCGTCATTGCCTGTAAATTATAATATGACGTAGAGTGCACTTTGCAAACGCAAATTACAATTTACAAGTAATAACCATGGAATGGATGACAAATAAAAGTAATATCTAGGTAAAATAAAAAATAATGGAGAATTGGGTTAAAGTGTTACCAGGTGGGTAGTACCATAGAGTATATTGCTACTAGTACGTTCCAGTGTTTTCGATAACTATAAATACATTTCTTATATATCTATTTAATATCGTGTTACCAAAGATGGAATGGATGGGAATAAATGTATAGAGGTTTTTATAGTGGGATTTTTTTTAAATAATTAACTTTACAAATATGTTACGGTCTGTGATTATTAAATTAATGATAAACTGCCCTTAACTTACATTGCCCGCGGCTCCGCCCGCGTTCAAATGACCAAAAACCAAATTCTTAGGTATAGGTAAAATGGCACCGGGGATTTTTTAGGAGGGAAAAATATTTAGGGTCTTTTTAGGGGCTTAAAAAGTTTCGATTAATAAAGACTTCGAATTTTTTTATTATTTGTTAAATTATATTTTCTATGAAATTTATTATTACTTTTAAAAGGACTATATCTATTTTTTATAATAATACCCATAAATAAGTTTTTTACGCTATGTATAATCATTTAAAATAAAAAAATATAATAAAAATTGAAAAAAAAATAGTCTTCGCTGAAAGAGAACTGTTATAAGATTTGAGGGCGCAGCTTTATTTAATTACCGTATTTGTCATGTTGACAACACTATAGTGCGACTGTAACATCTTGATACTTTGAAAAGTTAGAATAAAATGTTTTCAGATTCCGTCTTAGTAATTGTTTTAAGGAATGATTTTAATGAGAACTGTTAAAGATGTACCCAATCAGAAAAGATGTCGTGTGCATTTTAAATCAATTTTCTAAGTAGTGTTACGTTCAATGAGTTCGGGGATTGGAAATGAAGGACGTATTCTGTACTACAGTTGTTTTAATGCTTTCGCTTAAAAATAGTGATTTATGACCATTCACAAACACACGCACGTCTTCCTTTGTTTTTTCCCTGGTGTTTTCACATGCCGTTATTTATGGAACTTTTTATTTTATTTTAGATACTGTATTGAAAAAGTAGAAAAAATATTTTAAGTTAAGACTAACTTTACTAACTCGCTTAGACAAGCGCATTATAAATTAAAAGTACAAACACTCTTTATACCTGTTATCAAAAATATTGATTGGAACAAAATAAAAAAATAATATCATATTTCTAAATGAATTCCTTTTAATTTATACATATTTTGAGATGTCAGGGACCGCAGGTTACTTAGGAAATCTATAAAGTGTACAAACATTCAAATAAAACTGTTACATACCGGGCATATCTGCCACACGTTCCGTGAATTTATTTAGGTAAATAATGGTGTGTTTTGCTACTTTTTCTTCTTAGCAGAATTGTATAATATTAAATATTATTTTCCTTGTCGAACTGTGTAAAGTTTTACTCCTTTTCGACATGATTTAAAATAAAAGTCACACACAAACAACACAATAAACACGAAATAAAGTTTGACATTTGACAGATGGCTAGATTGGGTAGCCATGTAAAAATCATAATGTTAGTTCCATTTTATGCTACGACGGTTCTCTTTCCGCACAGACTCTAATTTAAACCTATATTTTTCAAATTGTCACTTAGGGGGTTTTAAGGTGTCTGCCCAATACACCGTCCCATACCATGACCGTGCTAGGACCGTGTCAGACAAAATATAATATATTCTTTGTAGGTATTGAAAAGTATGAGACTTTAACGGTAACAATAATTTGTCGGTGAGAATATTTTGCTGGTGCCGGTACACTCTGTGTCTGGCACGCGACGTTGCGGGACCGCTGAGCGCAGGCGGCGCAATGGTGAACATACGCAGCTCTAAAACCCTTATGTTCGGGTATGATACGCTGTTGATACGTTCTAGTGGGCTAGTAGTCCGTGCCATGCTCGCTTCCGTGCCTGATATGTGACGGTGTAGGGGCAGACTTCTTTAGGGGTTTTTGAAATTACTTATAAGGGGGTAAGATTTCAAGTGTTGCCTGTTCGCATTCTATTTGTCATCCATGGTTCGCATTTGGCAACACTGGGTGACTGGTCTGCTCGTAGTGACGACACGCGAGATATTTTATAGTTTTCTATACTACCGGCCCCAGTTTATAACTATACTCTTTGTACCGGCCTATATTTTATCAAGAAGTCGGTCAGTTTGTGATAAAACTTCACGATGGCTCAGGCTCTGAAAAAATTATCGGCGCAAGCTCTGAAAAATAATTATGCTGAGGCTCTTACAACCGGTATTGTGAGCAGAGCAAGCAGGTAATATACCGGCATATTTACGTAATAGCTGATATTTGATCCTTGACATTGAATTTTAAAATCATAACATGGTCTAACTCTAGATATCATAAATATTCTTTTGCATTTTCCATTAACAATGAAATAAGACTAGGGAGTCTTTTCAAACCTGACACCAATTGTATTGAAAATTGGAAGCACCAGTTGTATTGTTAAATTAATTTGATGAATTGTAAAGTTTTGAAGCTCTGTTTTTATAAGGGCCGTAAATTGTACAATACAAAATTTATTCATTTACCTTTTATATGATATGTAATTTTAAAAGGGTTTGATATAAGTCAAATATTCAGCAAACAAAAAAAAGTTTTTTAATAAGAGTCAATGTACTTACTACTTAGAACCTTTCAAATTTAATATATATTTATTTAAATAACAGCACCTGGTGGAGCAATGTTCAGATGGGACCACCTGATGTCATCTTAGGTATTACTGAAGCCTTCAAAAGGGATACAAATCCAAAAAAAGTAAATTTAGGGGTTGGTGCTTACAGAGATGACCAAGGCAAACCTTTTATTCTGCCTTCAGTAAGAAAGGTAAATTAGATAGAAAAATTTATACATAATTTATGTTTTTTATTATGGCAAAGAAACTTAAAAATATATTTTTATAGGCTGAAGAAATTGTGTATAATAAAGCATTAAACCATGAGTATGCCCCAATTGGTGGAGAAGCTGCATACACTGATGCAGTCGCTAAACTTGCATTTGGAGAAGACAGCCCAGTTCTCAAAAATAAAAGCAACTGCACTGTTCAGGTATATCAACTTATTATTGTTTATGAATATAATTAATGGAGCTTTTGTAGTTTTAAATTAATGATTAACTGAGCTTTATTATCAAATTGCAACTTGAGATAATAATAACCTTCACTAGATATGGAAATAGTGACCCGCTCTTGTTTCATTTTTATAAAAAAAAATTTTATAAAAATAATGGATACATAAAATAGCAACATGTGTAGATTTTCTTATGATGAAATGTACATAACAGTTTTGTAAATGTGAATATTTATTAGTATATTTGTTACATCTTCATGTAAGTTTTTTATTGAAAACAAAGATATAATACAATAATATTATATAATATATTATAGTATAGTAATCTAAATTCTTATATAATCTAAGTATGATATGATTTTCTATGATACGAACAGTACTTGTTTATTGTTCTGTTATCAGCTACTAAACATTTAGTAAGTAAAGATCTACATATCTACTTCTTATTCTTAAATATTTTTATCCCATTTAGAGTACATTAATAATTACAAAAATAAAAAACCTGACTGCATAAAAAGTGAACTAAAAAGAGAAAGAGTTAATGAAGGAACATAGTATTATGCAGTCGGAGACAAAGACACACAGCTATTCTAAAACATGTACATAATATGTCTCCGACTGCATAATACTATGTTTCTTCGTCAACTTGTTCTCATCTTTTTAGTTCACTTTTTACAGTCACGTTTTTTATTAGTACTGTAATTTTTTTTTTTACAGCTTTTTAGTTTTGGTTACTTAGGCATTTTTAGTTTTATTTAACAATTTCTCATCATAAATTACTTTAAAACATAAGTTGTATATATTTTTGTAATTGCCTCTAAAAACTTTTATTTTGATACCCCACTTGATTTATTCAGATGAAAAACTTTTTTCAAGACACAAATTGGCGCCTAGGATCCGCCATTTTGATTTTTAATGATATCTATATACCCTATGACACTCGCGCTATCAAGGTGCATCGAGTGACGTATGAATCATCAAAATCGGTTAAGCCGTTTAGTAATTACCAGGGAACATAGGATTGGACATCATACATCCATGCATGTATATAGGTCAAACACATAACCTAACTTTGGGCTTCACCGCAGTTGGGTAAAAAATAGGATGTTTGTTTTATGTTATTTATCCTATTTTGAGTATCCTAGAAAGAGTAAATTTAAGAAAGTATTATCCTAGAAAGAGTTTATATAGCCATTTTTTTTTTGTAATTAGTATGAAATATTTAAATGACAGCCTATTACTTTTGTGTTAATTTCTTCAGACCTTATCTGGAACTGGTGCCCTTCGCCTCGGTTTGGAGTTTATCACCAAACACTATGCCAAGACTAAAGAGATCTGGCTGTCGACCCCCACATGGGGCAATCACCCTCAGATCTGCAACATGATTAATCTCCCGCATAAGAAGTACCGATACTTTGATGCCAAGACAAATGGATTCGATCTGAAAGGAGCTCTTGAAGATATAAGTGTGAGTACTATTGTGATTTTGATTTTCAATAAGTGTTTTTCTAACTTATAGCAGGTAAATTCTAATCTTACAATGATGAAATAAGCGACTTTAACCAACACAAAACTAATTAGTTGCCGCTATGTAATACTGCCTGTTATTGCTCAATAGAACTTGTTCAGTTATATAAATAATGTCCTTGTTTGGTCAGACAAACTAGCACTAGTGTATTGACAGTGAGTGTCAATATATATTAATATGAATATCATATTGGTGTGTTTTGATTTATTAAATAATTATTATATTAGGATTAAAAGAGTCGGCCGTTAGCTTCAGCTCCATTTATTTTCTTATCAATTTTCTGCAATTATCAAGCAATACAATAAATACTTAGTTTATTACATATTTACGTCATTTGCGCTAGTAATATTATTTGCAATTATCTTGTTATAGTAAATATATTCAAAAATAATATTACTTAAAGATAACAATCATGCATGCAATGCAATCCTTTTTCTGCTGTTATAAAGTTGACTTTTTGGTCCTTTTATATATTGATGGGCACTTTAATCTTTTTCATGGATTAGTATATATGTAGGTACAATTAGAGTAAGATTTAGGGGAGGGCAACTGGGGTTTCAATTAACATGTAAAATACTTTTTTTATGAGAATTTAATCCTCCCTCCTTATTTAGTCGGGGCCTCCACACTCAAATTCGGTCCTGGGTACCATACAAAAGTTGGAATAATAGTCCAAGAACTTGCTTAGATAAAATCTAGATAAATGATAATATAACGTTGTATTTTCAGAAATTAAATAAAAATCGAGATATGGGACTTCCAAATTACGTAAATGTCTTTTACTCGTAAATACTCTATAAGGTAGATTATTTCTCTTTGCTAAATAACATCGAATAATATCGACCTAGTTGTAATTATACGGTCTGCAAAAATTGCAAAAACAAGATGTGAATGGACATAACTAGTATTAGTCAACTGCATATCTTCATTAAAGCAATTTCATAATAAAACGAACTCGCATTACGATTTATCAAAGTCCGTTATTGTTCGCCATAATTGATTTATTTGACTCTTATCATTTACTAGCGATCCGCCCTCGCTTCGCTTATTCGTGTCCCTAACCCGCGGCTTTGCTCGCGCTAAAACTACAAAAAAAAAGTCTGACATTATGCAAAAGGTATTTTTGAAATGGGCTGGCAGTAGTTTCTGAGCTTAAAACATCAGTTTTACAATAATATATATAAGTTTGGCCGATTTGTTGACATTTATGATTACTTGGGTAGTAGCATTATTATATAGACTATAGCCTTCCTCAATAAACGGGCTATCTAATGCAAAAAGATTTTTTCAAATTGGATTAGTAGTTTCTGAGATTAGCACGTTCAAACAAACAAACAAACTCTGCCTCTTTATGATATTAATGTAGACTAGCGACCTACCCTCGCTACGCTCGGGTTCGTCCCTAGGGTATGTATTTGAATCGGATATGATTAAATTTTTCATTGGTTTTAATTTGTTTTCGTGGAACCCTATTTTTTTTCTAAAATAAAAGTAGCCTAAGTTACTCCTTATTACATCAGCTATCTGCCAGTGAAAGTCTCGTCAAAATCGGTCCGACCATTTCAGAGATTAGCCGGAACAAACAGACAGACAGAAAAAAAATTGTAAAAAATGTTGTTTTGGTATATATGTACCGTGTATACATTCCATATGCATTTAGTAAAAAGCTGTTATTTTGACATTACAAACAGACACTTCAATTTTATTTATCTGTATAGATTACATAGGCAAAGGGCAATTTCTATCACTATTAAATAAGTATTCGTGACGATGAAACTGCAAGTTTTTACAAAATTAATATTATGTAAATCGTTGAAATAATTTACTAAATATTATTTAGTCAAACATAAACATGATTGCAACTATATCTGCTTAAATCTAAAAGTTAGACATATTGTATCGCCGAAGCGATTAAGCAGCGCACGTAAAAACACAATACAAAATTAATTTATGGCTCATAGCACTCAGGGATATTGTAGCTATCTATTAGTGAAAGAATAATAAAATTGGTGCAGTAGTTTAAGAGATTACTCTACATAGAAACTTACTTAGCTCTTTATAGAATTAAAATGTTAATGTATATTTTTTATAATCCCCACCTTGTTATATTTTAATAAATTTACTCAGTTATACTTTAACATACGTACTTACATAATCCATACTAATACTCTAAATTACCTTTTCACGCTTAATCCGCTGAACCGATTTAGATGTTATTTAGTATGGAGATAGTTTGAGATCCTGGGAAGGACATAGAATACATTCTATCCCGGAAATCATCCCTTATGGGAGTAAAAAGAGCGATGAAAGTTTGTATGGGGAACCATTTCTCAATAAGGGATATCTATACATATAATAAAATTCTAACTGAGTCGAATCTGTACATTACATATTTTTGGAAAATCTTATTGAAATAGTCATTATTATCGATACAGAGTCCGAATCTATAGTTTTTAGAATTTTTGTCTGCCTGTCTGTCTCGAGTCAACATATAGAATACTTTTTACTGCGGGAAAATATCTCATCTCTGAGAAATCTATACTAAACGTCAAAACGTAAGTAGGGACGAACCCGAGCGGAGCGAGGGTGAGTCCCTAGTATCTTATACATTTTTTAATTTTTTAAGTAGGTACTTACTTTTCTATACCTATGTATGTACATATGTATATATAATTTATTCTATACCAACCGTGAAAACGTATCTAGGTACGAACCCGAGTGAAGCGAGCGCGAGTCGCTAGTTACTTATAATATACAGGTCAAAATGTTTTATTAAAGGATTTAGATCAGTTAAAGTTAGCTTAATACAGTGAAAATGAGATCAAGAGTGACGTGCGAGTTAAAAATATCCTTCACGCGCATTTAACCAATCGTTATCATGATTGAGTGGAACAAAATATAGATACATATATATTTAACATTTTTTTTAATTATGGCTGTCTCGATGATAGATTATAGAACAACCCCTTATGATGACATCGACCATCATCGATCGTCCCCTTGACCAGATTCAGGGGCGTCATCATTTATCTATATCTATACATATAATAAAATGCTAACTGAATCGAATCTGTACATTAAATGTTTTTTGGAAATTCTTATAGAAATAGTCATTATTATCGATACATAGGTCGAGCTGATTATCCGGGTCAACATAAAGGATACTTTTTACTGCGGGAAAATATATCATTTCTGAGAAATCTATACTAACTGTTATAAGTTATAACGTATCTAGTTAATAATTATTTTATATGCAGGGATAATATATGATATTTTATTAGTCCTACTAAAGTTATTTAATCATCAAGATTGGTCTCTACTAAGAGACCATTGCATCCTCAACTACCTATCTAAACTAAGAAAATTATTATCGGAGGCTTACTATTATTAAATTTCAATGTTCTTTTTGAGTATAAGCCAGTCAAATCTGTATTTGAATAGAAGAAAATGCCTCGCTAAAAGATATGAGAATTGAACCTGTTCGCTAATATGCAAACATACGTATGAATTGCGCGAGATAGAAGCCATATAAAGAAAATAACTAGCTATATGAAGATAAAAGATAATTGAACATAATACACTTCAATAAACATGTAGGTATATAATACTGATAAGTGATAACATGTTTCAGAGTCAATTTTAGACCTATTGCTATTAGTGGTGACTAGATTTCTCTAATAGCGGCTTTTGGAACTAGCATCAGGGGTACATACTAAAATAAATAATAAAAAATTAAACAATGAATTAATAAAAATGTTGGGACATTAACACACAGCAACATCTAGTTCCATGGTAAGCTACGAGGCTTGTGTTATGGATACCAGATAGTTTATACACTACAGATATATAACTTTAAATACATATTATAAATATAAACACCCATGAATACAAACATTCGTGCTCATCACACAAATGAATGCTCCCTTGAATCCTTGAATGAATGCTGCCTTTGTAGCCATAAAAAAGAAATAGATTTATTTATTTTTGTATTATCTCCTAGTTGGTGTAAATAATGGCTCTGAACCTGCTCATTAATAGCTCAATAACTTAAGGTTTGTTTTTGTAATAAGAATGTTTTTATGCAAATATCTGCATGATCTCACCCGCTGACAAATGAGTGACATTGCATAGTACATAGCAATGTCAAAGCTATTTTAATATTTGACGAAAATTTGCACCAAAGGTATTTTTGTTAATATGATTTCAAAGAAGACGTGCGAAAGTTTTTTAGAATCTTGGACCTGACGTTACAGTAACCATTTCTATATTAATTTGAGCAGTAGTATTATATTACTATTATAATGTTATTAATTCCTCAACGACCGTGGGCTCACCGGTGTTACAGTTAACAATGAATTTCATAGAAATTCAATTAATTTCTGAGAATTTTACCTGGAGGAGTTAAATACCAGCGAATTACCCTCGCTTCGCTCGGGTGCGTCCCTAGTTTCCTTTCACAAAGATATAAATAGTTAATGCGATTGTATCTTAGTTAGACATATGTTATTGCAGACTTTTCTGTAGGCCTTTTTAAGATCCTTTGATGTATCTCATAAGGTTTAGTCTCAGCGTCAACCATGTAAATTTCTAAGGACGACTCAATAGAACCAGCTCTATGTTTTCCTGTGGGAATGAAAGATTTTCCTTAGTAAAACTTTAACTAAACTTAATGTTGACCCAAGTAATAAGTTATCACTACCTAAAATGTAATTAAAATCGGTTCAGTACTTTTGCGTGAATGCACACGGACGTGCAAACAAACAGATTAAAATTTTGATAACTATTTTTTTGGGATCTATATTCTGTACACAGTCATTGATTTTTAAAACTATTTCATGTTCAGATTTTGCTGAGTTACTATTTTATTATATGTATAGATTATTCAGCATATAATATTAGTTTAAATTTAATTTGTGTATACTGTATTCTTCATTCACATCATCTTATAGTCTAGTCAAAAAGTTCCTTTTGGGTCAAACTTTTTTCTCCGCCTCCAAAAAATATGAACGAGGTGTCATTCGATTCGATGTTGATATTATGATATTATGTATTTTTTATTAAAACGATATATTTTATTTTTCTAGAAAATTCCGGAAGGCTCTATTATTTTATTGCACGCATGCGCCCACAACCCAACCGGTGTAGACCCGAGGCCAGAAGAATGGAAACAACTGTCACAGGTACCAATGGTTTTTTAATATATATTTTGTTTGTGTAATTCTATGTATTTAGTAATCGATCGATCGTGTTTATAAATATTATTTACATTGTAGATTAGTTTGGAAAGAATAATAAGTTTATTTATTAAAGTATTTAGTGGCCTAGCTCTCCAGCGATCAGATAAAAAATTTAAAATTATTATATTTTTTGTATAATTCACTTTCCAAAATGCACCCCTCTTCATTTATTAATTAAAACATTTTTATTGTAACGATTACGTCGTTGTGGGACGATCGGCGCACAATAGGGCATATTATAGTATATTAAAAAAATGAAGTGAGGTGAAAGAGTATTAGTAGTAGGAGTTTCACCTTTTTGTTATCAAAAACTTCTCTAAGAAGATATATAACAGCTTGAAAAACATAATAAGTTTTAACCCATGGATAAGATTTTTTCCATATAACTTTAATTAGGTTATGTCCTTTTATATAGACATCGTCAAATAATATTGCTATATACTAATTTAAATATCAACAGGTGATAAAAGACAGGAAGCTGTACCCATTCTTCGACATGGCGTACCAGGGCTTCGCGACGGGCAGCGTCGACAACGACGCCTTCGCCGTGCGCCTCTTCGTGCAGGAGGGCCACCAGGTCATGCTCGCGCAGAGCTTCGCTAAGAACATGGGTATGTGACTGACTCTTATTGTTATTCTTCTTGCTATTTTTCTTTTCTTCCTCTTTTTCTCCCTCTTTTTTATCTTCTACACACAGTTTTTTCTGCACTTAGGCTATTTATTACTAGCTGTGCGTGAGCTTATGTTAATAGTGCAGATGCGTTTTTCTTTTCACCCATCATAGTATCTCATTGTTATTGTAGTGTATTGATACATGACGCTGTATTATGAGGAATGCCTGTTATGGCAATTAAAATATATCCAGATGTATTTCTATTTATTATATTAAGCATTTTATTTGTGACTGAGTTGGTTTTATCTCAATCTAGTCTATGATTTTATCTCTTGGTTTGTAATGATTTGAATTATTGGGATAAAAATGAGTTTAAAAATAATCATGTATGACGATATAGTCAATTTCACGGAAAGACAAGCATAAATAGCTGTGACAATAACCATTGATTGCGAAACCATATTAGTGTTCGTTCACATTTGACTTCTATTATCTTATCGGTTAATTTACGTCAACGTTATTTTTTTGGTGTCTATGGGATTTAGTTAGTTTACAATATATTTACATATTACTATTAATAATATCTATAAATGTAAATGCCATATGAATATATCTGCCAATAGTTGCTATGTGAGATATATTTATCGCTTTGTTTTATTTATAAAATGAGAGCTATTCGGCTATCAAACAGTAGTAATGCTAGGTTTAGGTGATGAAATAGTTATCAATTATTTGTTATAAATCTACATACAATAAAATTCTATTTTTTGGAAAATCCTATTGAAATAGAGATTATTATTGATACAGAGGCTGAATCTAGTTTTTATAATTTTTGTCTATCTGTCTGTGACCGCATCACGGAAAACCCACTAGAGGAATTCTGATATGATGATTAAAAGGGTCAACATATAGGATACTGTTAATAATAAAATTTACACTTATAGACTATTATATAAACACTAAATTTTTTTGAAGATGTATGTACATTGTATATAATATGTATGTTACCCTTTCAAGCCAATACTACTGAACTGATTTTTAAGAAAGTACAGTTATAGTGAGTTATTAGACATCAGATATTACTAATATTTAACTGAACTAAACGAGCGGAGTTACGAGAAAACGCTAGTAGCTAATAAAACAACAATGGGCAGGTCTGTACGGCGAGCGCGCCGGCGCGCTCACGTTCCTGTGCGGCGACGAGGAGGCGGCGGCGCGCGTCATGTCGCAGGTCAAGATCATGATCCGCACCATGTACTCCAACCCGCCGCTGTTCGGCGCGCGCCTCGTGCAGGAGATACTCACCGACCCGCAGCTCAAGCGGCAGTGGTGAGTGATACATCCATCTATACACTATATAAGTACATATATACATACATACATACATACATATATATATATATATATACATATGTATATATGTATGTATCTATGTATAAGTGATTATTATCACCTTTATTTCTAGTATATATTTAGTAAAAATTTTTGCACTATATTGCCCGCTGACATCTTCTTCCACAACCAGGGGTTGACTGGAAGAGATCTCTTTTAGAGATAAGTCCACCTTTGTGAACTATGTTTACTTTGTTTTTTTTCTGTATCATATTTTAAGTGCAATAAAGAATATAATAAGTACAGTATATTAATAAATTATATATTATTATAATTATATATTATTTATAATGTATAATATTCTTATTTGGAATTCAGTATTGCAATATATTTATTTCATATTCGACTTTTTTATGACATCACTGACGTCTACATATCATTGTACACAAGTCGCATTGATTTAGACAAAAACCATGGCCGTTCAGCTAAAACACAATACAAGATTCATTAAAATCGGGTCAGAATTTAACGGTAACAAACAAACCATGGGGTTTCTCAACAGTCCACTTTGCCGTCAGGGAAGTACCAGGAACAACCAGTACCAGAAGGGGGGAGGGGGGTATATATACCAATATAATGTAACTCAACAAACAACCCCAATATTACAGGTTGAGCGACGTAAAGCTGATGGCGGACCGCATCATCTCCATGCGGCAGCAGCTGCGCGCCGGCATCGAGGGCGCCGGCAACAAGAACAGCTGGCGCCATATCACCGACCAAATCGGCATGTTCTGCTACACCGGCCTCAAGCCTGAACAGGTACCTTATCTATCTATCTTTACATATCCTAGTATTACGTAATATACATTTATATGTATATTAATGGTAAATTTATATTATTATTATGAACGGGAAAGAAATAGAAAGTGCACTTTAATAGTCTTAGTGAGATTAGCTGCTGTGGGCGAAACTAATCAGGAGGACATTATCTTGTAAAGGTATTGACAGTGAATATTATAACTCTGAATCAATGCAAATCAAACAGCACTCTTTTTTCCGAATACATACTCATCATACTAATCAAGAGTATGTATGTTTGTTTCAGGTGGAACGCCTTACCAAGGACTTCCACATCTACCTGACCAAGGACGGTCGCATTTCAGTGGCGGGTATCTCCTCCAACAACGTGAACTACGTTGCCGAGGCCATGCACAAGGTCACCGCTTAAACTACATATCAATTATACTGCCATAAGGATAAGTGATAGCCAGTCTGTTAATGATTGATAGCTTCTATTAAATAGAACAGAGCACAGATTGTCCTCTTGTATTTATTATTCGTCACTGTGGTACGAAGTAAAAAAAATAAAGTATATTTATTGATCGATCATGATGTGTATAAGAATTAAAATATAATGTTGTCTATACTAAATGTTTTTATTTCACCGTTGCGGAGCAAAATGAAAAAGAGGGTTTATTATGTAACTGTTTATTTGGAATACGAGTAAATAAAATAAACTTAATGCCGAAACACAAATCGTAGTAACACATATATCAATGATTTTAAAAAGAAATTAAGGTGTACGCAAAATATTTACAGCCGACGATAAAACGTCATTCTACATTTAAAATGGATGCAGATCAATAAGCATCGAAATTGTCACTAAAACTTTGTATAATTATATAATTCATAAACGAATTCGGAAACCCAGTTTCAACAATTTATTTCAAATCTAATAACAATCTTAACGGTATTTTATTAACCTGCATTGACATATAAAATGTACCTATAACGTGTTACTTAGCTTAATTTAACTAAAACTTACATACACGCCACACATCTAAAAATGTGTTTTATTAAATTAGTATGGTACAAATGTTTAAACACATCCTTAACTAGACATTAGTTAATGATATCGATAAAAACAATATATCTATGTACAATTTGTCATAAAACGACTTCATTATTCATGGCACTATTTCTTTAGAATGTAACATTCATCTCGTATCCTTTCCATACCCGTCCCCAGAGCGAGTCCCCGATACAGAAAAAACTTTGACCTTTCGACATATTTTGTTTGTTTTTTTTTTATTTTCTTCTTATCACTATTTGTCAGATACAGCCTAACATAAAAGGTGATTTTGGTGTTAAGAGAAATAATGAAAATCTGAAATACCTTATAATATATTTACATAGTATCTTATTTGTTCTATAAGTAGTATTAATTATTTCGCACCTGCAATATCATAATAAAGTTACAATTTATTATTTATCAATAGTTTCGTAGATATTGTATTTTATGAATTAAACATAAACAAATACTTATATACAAATGATATATAACTCATTTGAATAAATATAAAAGAGCTATTTTCACTGATAATTAGCTATAAATAAAATTAAAATATTGTAAAATGTAATAAATTTGAGATTGAGGATTTCGTATAGTTTTTCATCTTAATATATAATATGTCGACTGGACGCAAAAGCGGTTTGCTTCCATTATATATAATGAATACAACTTATTTTTGGGTATATTGTTACAACTTATTTAAAAAAAATACTAGGGAAACCAATTTATAGGTACTATTTTTGAAGTTATACTTCTCATGGCACGTTTGAAAAAAATTATGAGTAAAACTTTTACGATGCGCATGCGCACACCGCAGCGACATGATGAAGTTAGCTGATAATACTGTCTCTCCAATTCCTGTGTAAACTCATAACTATATTCGAAGTAGTTTCTCAAATATTCATAAATCTATAACACGTGTTTTATATCAGTGGAGATAAAAAAATATTTATTTTTATCAATATAACATTCCTTTTACAAACAGAGAGTTGTGACATACGGGATAAAATGTTTAGCTATTTTTGTTCTTTTACGCCAAAGAAGTATAATTTCTTACGTACATACATAAGTAGGTACGTTCTTTATTACTGTCACGAGATATTTTACATGTTGCTGCAAATGGATAAGCTAATGTATTGCAGTGAATTTAGTCAAAATGAATCTGTTTTATTAATACAATACATAGATGGCGTTGGTTGCAGCAAACATTAAAATTTATATGACGGACAATGAACTACTAAAATATATAAAGTTAAGGGTATACAATATAGCATATAAATAGATATATTTGCACTACATGCATAAAATTTACCTATATTGCAACACATTTTTATTTACGACTATCTTAAGTAATGCACCTTTTATATCTGTCTACGTGTACATGCGAGCAGTTGAGATGTGATTGTAAAAAAATGAAATTATAGGAAATCAAAAACAACTCAAATTGACACGTAATTTTTATTAAAAAAAATAATTAGCTGTCATTTCTTTTTTTTTTCTACCAAAATATTCTGCATATTTTAATTACACAGTTACCATAGAAATATGTCATCCGCCGCTATCTTATAATTATTTAGAATAATTAAACATTAAAATTGACAAAGTATAACTTACCATAAATATGTAAATTAAAGATTTAACAGCAATTTGTGCGTTACGTTACGTTTCTCTAGAATACTATAAAGATTTTATCACAAAATTATAACTAAATTATAATGAATGCTCATATATTACAAGTTATGATATCTTGATATTCGAATAATTCATATAAAGAATGTTTTATTCTTTTAATTTGTGTAAACTAACTATGAAACAGCATAAACCATTAATTTACCTTTTTATATTTAATTCATAAAATACATTTTTAATAAACCCAATAGTAAAAATATATGGCCTACTACATTTTAGCCCATTTTTCAAACGTATTAAATAATTTTTATTTTAGATTATTAGAAAAATATATTAAAAAATGGGACACAAAGAGAATAATTTAACAGAGTTTTTTTCTTAGGTGTCATGTTTTTTGGATATATTTGTAGAAAATTGATATATTAAACTTGAGCAACCAACAATTATATACGAGTATTTATGTTTTTGTTTTTGGAATACAAAAGTGAATTACGTTTCATAATTATTGAAAACTAGCAATTCACCTTCGCTTCGTTCGGGTTCGTCACTAGGTTCACTATCTATTGCTAAAAACTGCATTAAAATCCGTTGCGTACTTTAAAAGATCTAAGCGTACAAACAGCGGGAGCGACTTTGTTTTATACTATGTATAGAAGATAATAATTGTATGACGTATGTATAATATTCAGTTGAGTATTAAGGAACATAATATATTATTTACAAAGAGTATAATTTACTTTTGATTATGTTATTTTTTTTAAATATTACAGTGAAATGTTATACCTTTGAATGATTACTATTTTCAATTTTTGAGCTATCAAAAATAAACATCGATCACGAATACTGTCGTTCGAAAGAATCAGGTGATACACTTGGCCTAGCACGATACAGACATTTCATACATGCTTGTCCAGCATTGTAAATACAGATGAAAAAATGTCACAGATTTGACTATCTATTCCTCTGCTTCATCTCTGAGCCTAAAACTTTATCCAGATGTGAAATTTATAAGTATTTGTTAACTTCCAAATGTTTATTTAAAAACTAGCATTGCCCGTGGCTCCGCCCGCGTTCAGATGACCAAAACTTAATTCTTAGGTTTTACATATTATTATACTCTTACATTGCAGTTTTTGTATTTTTTCTCAGAAATTAGATATTTTTCCGCGGTAAAAAGTATCGTATATGTTGACCCGGATAACCAGCTATCATCATACCAAATTTCATCAAAATCTGTCAAGTGGTTTTCTCGTGATGCGGTAACAGACAGACAGACAAAAATGCTAAAAACTATAGATTCGGACTCTGTATCGATAATAATGTTTATTTGAATTAGATTTTCCAAAAAATATTTAATGTACAGATTCGACTTAGTTACAATTTTATTATATGTATAGATGTTATTTTGAATTTTGCTCTCATGCATTACCTATAAGATACTTTAAGAGACGCCCGGATATACCTAAGTGTATCAGCGGGAGGCTGGTACATTATAAGCACGGAGTAATGATTCCAAGAAAAAGGAGAGGGTTGCTCATCTAGAACGATGTTGAATTATCGTTGATGATAGTCCTCCAACAAACGTGTAGTTCATTTGAAACTTTACTGTGGACTATTTTAAATTATTGCAATTATTTTTGAAGTTATACTTCTTTTGGGATATTTGGGAAAAAATATGACAGTAAAATTTTTTCGACGCACGCGCACACCGACAGCCAAATGAGCGACATGAAGTTTGTTGCCATAGTAACCGTTGTTATTGTCTGACAAATGATATAAAATATTATATACTTTCCTTAAATGATATTCTATAAATATATTATGATTGTAATATCCCTAATATGTCTTATTCAAGTGTATTCAGCCCTTTTTAACATCCCACTGCTGGATATGGGCCTCCCTTCAATACGAGGGGGATCAGGTCATAGTCCACCATGCCTGCCAAGTGCGGGTTGGCGGACTTCACACGTCTGTCGAAAACTTGCTAGTTCCTCATCATGTTAGAAATGATTCGCACATGCAAATATCAGAGGCGCGAGACCCGGGATTTGAACCCGCTATCCCAAGCGAGCGCGTTACCACTGGGCTACCACTGCCTTCTTTTTTAATTATTAATTTATCTTTCCTTTTACAAATAGAGAGTTGTGACATACAGGATGAAATCTTTAGCTATTTATGTTCTGTTACGCCAAAGAAGTATAACTTTTTACATGCGTACATAAGTACAAACACACGTTTTTTTTTTGTATTTTATAAAGGTATTTTTTCGTTTTTATATTTCAAATTTGACTTTCCATACAAAAATCTACCAATAATATATATATATATATATATATATATATATATATATATATATATATATATATATATATTTATAATACTGGCAAAACTGTCTGTAGACTTTCAGTATTTTTCTTGTAGAGTACTTACTGATTAGAATACCTGCACTTTTAATGGTATTTACGTACTTAGTACCGCAAATATTTTGATTTCAATACTTTATAATTACCTAAATTTATTCTATAAATTGAACACATCCGAATAATTTCTAATGCAAATGATTAGCTGATGGTCTACTGAAGATCCGTAGGGTCGGACCCTAGTATCAAACGTTTTTTGTATTGGGCATAACATAAATAATTGTCTATCAATGTGTGTGTGTGTGTGTGTGTGTGTGTGTGTGTGTTTAAAAACGTCATTTTCAAAATGTTTTTGCAGTCTGTTTTTATTCGCAGAAAATAAGAAGAAAATTAAAAAATAAATAAATAATATAGTTCAATAGATATTGTTAGAATTAATGATATCGACCTCGATAATATTAATGGCTTCTATTTATATTTTATCCTGACTGAATTGATTGTTATAGTACTCGTATTTGAAAGACGTATTATTGAAGAGAAGTAATTAAAAATGTATTTTTACATAGTTCCATAAAAGTTATTCTACAATTTATCACTGTTAGAAAATCCTTTTATTAAGTAGATAGACTTTATAAGACAACATTTATTAAAATTATTAACATAGTTATTGCAAGTAGAAATATTGCGTCAATTTTAAGAATTTCAATATTAAATTCTACATACTAAGAGCAGCAGATTATAGTAAACAATTTGGTAGAATAACGAGCATCTTGTATCTTAGTATAGAAAATTAAAGTTATCACTCCATAATTAATATTTATATTGGCAAGACATATTGTAATATGACGACTATATAAGGTGATACATAAAATTAAATCGCTTCTCCGTTTATTTACAATTGTGCTATTTTATTCTTGCTACTTATTGTAAACAGTATTATGATTGCAGCTGTATTTAAAAAAAAAAGAAATTATTATGCATTTGTAAAATGAACGAAAAATATCGAATGTAACAAAAACCTAACTTTGGTTAGGTCCAAATATTCATAGTTAATTAAGTTTTAGCCTCTTTCATTCGGCGTGATAAAAAACTGAGTTTCACAAAAATTATGTCTAGGTACAACGGCAACTCCTCGTGGTCGCCCGGGCCGGCCTGCCCCGCCTGCCTTCACTTTCGATTGGCGGTTTACATTTTAAAGAAATACCAACCAGCTCTCACTAGAACTAATAATTTATTGCTCATTTTTGTCTAAAGGCAAAGTTTCACTTACAGTCTGCGAGTCGGCGGAGGCGGAGTCTTCGGCGAGCAAGCTGAGGTGGTCGGGGCGCTCCTCGTCGCCGGCCATCATAGCCTCGTCGAGGTATGAGAAGGAGTCTAGGTTGATTTCCGCCGATATGGCGGTGCTGTAGACGTCGATACGCTTCTGCTGCGAGCGCGCCTCCGCCACCTTCTCCGACAGCTTGGCGCGCGCCTTAGACAGCGCGTCCGACTCGCACTTGTCCAGCTTGGCCTCGAGCTTGGGCTTGGCCTTGATGGCGAAGGACGAGTCGTTGCTGGACGAGCCGTCGTCCTGCAGCTGGCTGAGCAGCGTGCGGGCCAGCGCGCCCGGCGCGTAGCGCTCGCCGCCCTCACCTGCAATGCCACACCACTGCTAAAAGGAAGACAACAATTTTCTCGAACACGAGCGGAGATTCGTATACGGTTTTCATACGTAGACTGGAAGAATGGATATTCCGTTATTGTCATCACCAATTTTAAAAACAAATAACGTTTACACTTCAGGATTTTAATAGGAGTCGTGATTGCCCCATGCAATCATTTCTGACACAATAAAAACTCTTTACTCAGTGGAAACTAATGAGACTTTTAGGGTCGGTGATTGTTTTCAAGATGCGAAACTAAAACATTCATTTTTGCTATAAAATCGTATTGATGCCTCGTAAAAAACTGCTTCTTACAACTGAGGTTACGATATACCTGTATGGGCACTACGGTACTCACCCGGGGTCTCGCCGTGCGCGCGCTCCGCGGGCAGGTGACTCTTCGCCTTGCGCCCATCAACCATGAACTCGTTCTCGCTATCGCTGGACATACCCAAATCTAAGTGTAACGAATTTAATTTATCTACGTCGTCTTTACTCTTTCCGGAAACGGTGTCCAGTTCCATCTCCCAGTCGGTGACACTCGAGGAGTCCTTGCCGCCGTCGGAGTCTTTCAGGAATTCCGATTTGTCTTTCTCACTCTTCTCGATGATACCTAGAGAGGATTCTTCTAACCTTTCCATTTCTTGTAAACTCGTTGTCGAATCTAAGCTGCTCGTGTTGCACATCTCCGACGTCATTTGATGTTCAAATAAAACCGGCGTTTCTTGGGTGATTTCTTGATCTAAAGTCTTCTTATCCTTAACAGGACAAGGAGCAGTATGACGACTGCCCAATATTTCGGACATGGTCGTCGTCCGTCCCGTTTGTTCGTTATTTAGTTCTAAAACTATTACATTTCCGGATTTAGTCGGATCTCCTTGATCAGATTTAGAAGTTTGTAATAATTTATTGACGTTTTTACCCATAATTATTTTAGATACATCATTCCCATTTTTAGTGAAAGTGAGAGTTTTGCCTAGCGTAGCTCCTTTTTGGACCACTATAACATTTCCTTTAGTACTTAAAGGTCTTACGATTGGATTACTTATTTTAGTGCTCGGTATGGGAGATACGAGACCCTTTACGGGGACAATATCCGCCATGTTGGCAGTTTTGATAGGTTCTACGCCGACGATTTTCGCGCTAGAAGGTATCGCGTTGACGACCGCCGGCTTCGACATGACGCTGATACCCGGTGCTTTCGTCGTGGGAGTGTTGAGATGCGAACTCACAGAAACAAGTTTCATCGCCGTCGGGATTCCTTTAAAATGAAATAACGGTAATTGTACGTCCTTGTTCGTTTTCGCCGGCAGAACGACCATTTTTTGTCCCGACTTAGGATTAAGAACGAAGGTTTTAGCGGATACTTTTAAATCTGTAGCCGGGATGCCCTTGGGAGTCAGAGCTTCCGACGTCTTATTCACTATACTATTTGTACTTGTGTGTATGCTGTCCTTGTTCGGCGTCGAGATGGCCGAGGAGGTGATGATAATTTTCGAACTTGTCATTCTATTTTCTATAGAGGATTTTGATACAACAATCATCTTATCCGATTGTAAGACGGGGGCGTTGGACGAGCATGCTTTCGGTAGGGAACTGATGACTTTGGTGGTGACGAGTTTACTGCTCGCGGCGAGTGGCTTTGACGTGGAGCTCGGGGCTGTTACGACTTGCCTGTTCGATACGAACTTGACATCGTCGGTGGGTTTTTGTAAGACTTTGAATTCTGACATTTGAATTTTCTTGTGGTCGGGTATGTCGCTTCGTTTCTTGACGATGAGTTGGCAGGGCTTCGCACCAAGGGTCTGCTTGGGCGTGGCGTCGTCGGGGTGCGCGCTGTCGGCTAGCTCGTGCGGCACCGCGGCGGGCGAGTCTGCCGCCACGCCCGGTGACATCGCTTTAGGCTTCATCTCGTCCATGTAGTCCGCCTTGGTTTTACCAGCTATGACTGACTGCGCATAACTGGCTTGGAACGAGCCGGGCGGGCCGGAATAGTCCATTTGCTGGGACTGATGTTTGCCGGGAGACATGGGCATGTCCTGGTTCTTCTTCATGGCCTTCCCGTGTGGCTTGGCGGGCGCGCGGTGCGCGCGGTGCTTGTGCGGCGCGGGCCGGGGACCGTGCGGCTGGTTCGATTTACTAGTTGATACCTTGCTCACTTGGTTGTATGAGTGTTTTGAGTGCCCTGATGATTTACCTATTCAAATTAAAAAGAAATTTAATTGTCTTTTTATTTTATTATTTTAAACTATTAAAGTTACAAATAATGTTATATATCAAAGCAAAGATAATAATTAGCTCTATATTTCATAAAATATAATAATGTGACATATTGTGTCTATGATAAATATTAATTGAAATAAATTTTAAATTCATAAATAAAATAATATAATATAAAAATTTAAACTATAATTTTTTATATTTAAAACTATAAAAACTACAACTATAATTTATAGTCTAAGTATATATATATGATATTAATGTAATAATTAATTTAATGCATGCTTACTTGCAGATGGCTGTGAAAATCTTGAATATACTTGCGATAAATTCAAGTGTTTTTGGTTAGTATTTAATGGTATATTTCTCATGTTCTTGACTGGTGTGGATGCTTCGTCTGGTATTGCTCCTCCTTCAGGTATTTTTCTTTTACGGCATATTAACTCTGTTTCCCAAATCTGAAAAAGAAAGTTTTCTTGTTTTGGTTCTATACATAAAATGGGGTTAAATTAAATTACTATAACTTTATTATTGGACCTAATTATGTCTATCCATTATCATTATAATCTTTTTATGTAACTAAGGATGTGATATAGTATGGTACAAATGGTACATACATTAGTATATACATTGAAGGGATTTTTTAAATTTTCTTATATTATTTTTTTGTTAATTTCTTACTTTTGCTGTATGATCTTCCATGGCAATCGGTGGATATAGTTCCATATCATCTGTTACTTCATTTGAATGAAGAGCTCCCTCTGCAGTTTGGCTTTCAGAATCTAGCATTTCTTCTTCATTAGATTTAGGAGCTACTAATTTTTCAGTCTCAAGTCTTTTTCTGATTTCTTTATTTTCTGCTGCCGCAGCTTCAGCCGCTTTATCTGCTATTTCTGTATACATGGTTTGTGCGATGCCGCGTGGCATTAGCGGGATTCGTCTACGGCCCTCACTGATCCATCCTAAGCCTGTGTTTGGACCAGCTAGCCTAAAGAATATAAATATTACTCTATTAGTTGAAATACTATTTCAAATGTTATTTTTTTTAAGTTTTTATGTCTAACTGACACCAAACACATTGAATGTACACTTATACAAATAAGTACACTTATAATCAAACTTTGATCGTTCATATTTTAAAAATGTGGAACAAAAGGAGTTCTCTAGAGCAACAGCACAAAATCATTTTTATTTTTTCTGCACAAATAACATAAACATAGTTTATATTTAAAACCAGCAACTGGAGCTATGTTGTGTAAGTTGTTATAATATGTCAAATAATATTTTATTTCTGTACTTAACTGAATGTAAGCAAATTAAATTATGATTTTATGAGAACTTTGAATACAAATTGTAATTATATAAAAATTTCATTGGTGATAAGCGATATTGTAATAATTGATTATAATTATAATAATAAAGTGATTTCCTGAAACTTTAAAAATGTAAGCTGCAATAAATTATACTGATTGTGGATAAAACTAAGGTAACAATGTATTTAATTTTATGTAACTATTAACATTTTTATTATTAACAATCTCAATTATTCAAACTATAAAATGTTTATTGTTTGATACATTTATATGCTGTTTATAATATTATATGTAGTAGATGTAAATTGCGATTTGGATAAAACTGACTCAGTATTTAATTTTAAACACCGACATTGATATAGGTATACTGAAGGTTATGTGTCAATTATAATTGTAACAAGAACTAAAATATCTTAACATTAATATTCAAAATATTAATATAATATTTTGTAGTTCACGATAATATAGTCATAATTTAACAGACCTTTCATTTAACATAATCTATAAGGCTAAGAATGCAAAATGTGACAAAATTAAAAACATATTTTTTTTTAGATAATCCTATTGGAATAATTAATACTAACAATTAAATGCTACATGTTAATACAATAGTAACATAATCCACTTTCAATCTTTGTCTGCCATTACATTGCAGTACAATGAAGTATACCTTAAAATGTTACTTTTAAGTACTATGATCAAAGTTAAGCTTACTGTTCAGCAATAGTAGCTAGGAGTTCATCATTAGACACGCGACGCGCTTCAGCGCTATGCCGATCATTGCTTATATGTAAAACGGCGCGTAGTTCCTCAAGCAACTTTTTTCTGTTGTCTTCTAATGCCCCTTGTGCCCTGAATACACTGATCATATTCGAGTAGGCTTCTAATTCTAAAAGTAGACAAGAATGTATTACAAACAGAAGGTAATATTAAGCATAAAATGCATTCAAAGTAACCATATAGCTGAAAGCGTTGTGGAAGAAAACCATAGGAGGGAAAACGAATGCCATTTATAAAACTAAATATATACCGAGTCTTCTAAGCGTCCGACGACATTCGTCGCGTGTCATATTAAGAAGCATAGGCCACATGTTTAATCTTTAATATTAAACACTCATAAATCACTGTATATTTGTATGATTTTAACCATATTTTACTAAAATACTCTACTGGCAAATATCCATACTGTTTACTTCAAACTAGGGATAACCGATACTAGTAAATACGAATAACTATTCGATGTAATAAATCGATTCAAGATTTTCAAAAATTCACTTGTATATCATTTACTATAATTATATTCAGAAAATAAAAAAAATAGTTTAGTCAATAATTAAAGTAGTATTCTTAACTTAAATAAAAAAATTAAACTTTTTTTTTTACATTAAAACCAAAAAAATATTAAATACTGCATATTAAAAAAATATGCAGGAGCTAATATTTATAGCTAAGTCTCTAGTTAGTACAATGTTAAAAAAAAATCTAATAAGTTTATAGCTCAACAATTAAAAACCATAAAAAAAATTAAAATATTAATTGGCTAAACTTTTTTTTATATTATAATTAAAGCGATTAGATATCGATGCTGCCAATATTTTAATATATCGATATGAAATTTTTATCGCTTGCTTTTAACGACAGTTACTTAAATTTGACATTTGAGTGGTACAAATGCTAGATGGAATCTTTCATTATCTATGATTTTGGTCAGTCAACAAGTATCTATTTATTAAATGTATAAAATTAGTAAAATAAGTATAATTAAAAATCTTACCAAAAAAAATAGTGATGTAGGAAGCCTAGCATAATTGAAAATAAAATATAGGTGTTTTTTAAAACATCTTGATTATTTCATATTAATTTGGTAATTGATATTTAATTTTTTATATTAATTTTCATAAATAAAGAATTAAAAAAAAAGTGCAGATGTTTATTTAAGTTTTCCATGAACTGAACATATATATACTAAGCTGGGAATAATTCGGCATGCACTTTAAATGTCCATAGACATTAGACACACCCAGTTTTCCAATTACAGAGCATAATGCAGTACTTTGGCGCACAATACCGAAGTGTGCTTATGCTTAATTGGAACGTGAATTAGTTTTCAATTGCACCAGCAAAGGGTCATTACTATGTTTAGTGTTGAAAGAAAAAATATAACTAACTTATATGTATGTAATATATAATAATATATATCGTCGATATTATAAATTTTATAATAAACTAGCGACTCACCCTCGCTTCTCTTGGGTTCGTCCCTAGCTTGCTTCCCAATACAAACTTTCATCATTATTTTCATCCCCTTAAGGGTTGGTTTCCGGGATAAAAAGTATCCTATGTCCTTCCTTGATACCCTGCTCAAAATATCTTTTTACCAAATTTCATCTAAATCGGTTTAGTAGATTCAGAGAATTACCCCCTACAACGTCACAAACTTGCAAAGTTTACCTCTTTATAATAACAGTATAGATATATAATAATATATAACTAATTAATATATAATTATATAAATAAAACATAAACAAATAATATTAACGATATCGTAAACAAATTTTGATCAATGGCAAAAATGGTGGCATTCAATGCCACCTTGAAGAAAAAACACTTCTAATATTTCCTGTTATTGAGTTGGTATGCTTGTGCGCATCACGCCAAAGCAGTACTTTTCAAAATGCTCGATTGTGCAGAGCGTTGCTGTAGTTGGAACATCCGAAGTTAGCATTATGCCGCATAATGCGCTTTAGTGCTCTAATTGGAAAACAGGGAAAATTAGCCACACTAATAGGGATAGTATTTCCTTTTTCTCCCGCCAGATGTAGTGATCACTATAACCCTCAGTAAATTTTGTTGTTTTTTTTCCATTATATTTAAAATGTAATTAAAATGAAAAATATGGAACGAAATTTGCAAGAAAAAAATGCAAAGAAAATGTATATCATTTGTTCCCAAAAGATAAAAACTGAAGTAACTGTATTCTAAAGCAATAAGACGACCAAAATTGACGAAATCTCAATCTTTATATTTAATGTCATGTGGTTATATTTTTAAAGAAAGTGATTTTAAAACACTTAAATGGTCAATAGGTGAATATTTTTTTAATTTTTGTATTTCTTACATATTGATTATAGAGTTTCATACAAACTTTCATCTTCCATTTAACCCCCTTTTAGGTTGGAATTTCGAAAAATGCTACAACACGTATTTATTTTATTGTATTGAAAAGCATTAATACCAAGTTTCAAGTAATTCTAGTCATAAATAATGCATTGCCCATATAAACTTTATTACCCCCATTTACCCCTTTATGGGATAAATTTCTTATTTTTTATCTTAAAGCTAAATACCACTTTCTGTATATTTCACATTAAGAATGATAGAGACATACAATCTTTAATCTCCTATTTTACCCACTTAGGGGATGAATTTCAAATAATTCTTTCTTATTCTCCTCCAAATTTCACGTTTCTACGAACAGCTTAGTAGGTTTAGGCTATGTGTTGATCCATCAATCAGTCAGGACCACTGCAGGATACACCTCTCCTTCTCAATTCTTCCTTCAGCTGGTCTAACTTCCAGGTACAATACATTGCACAGGTAAGATGCGAACACAATAGAAGCAAAAAATCCATACCTGTATACAAGAGATAACATAATAAATTGCATAACCTCAGTCTCAATCTAAATAGCCAATACGTGTGGCGCCTCTTTTCGAGAAATCTTCCCCATTACATAAAAAATGTATTTATTTTCTATCGCTCTATATTTAAACTAAACCCTTTACCTCCTAAATCTTTTATCTTACCCTGCTGCACTGGCTTGCGTCCCTAGGTGCTTAATAGCAACCAATGTATGAGTCCAGGTCATAGTCTATATATGTGCTCCTCAAAATCCGTCAGGCCGCAATAAATTATGCAAACTTTTGAATTAAAATAATAGTCCAATAAAATATTTATTTTATTTTCATCGGACATGAGAAATATTAAGTACGACGTTTATCAAAATATGCCTGTATTTTATTTATTCGTTATTTACAACAAATAACACATCATTATTCATTATTTTTTATGATTGTTACACTAAAGATATAGATAATTATATAATTCACACAGTAAATGATGAATTTTTATTTATAATCAATGAAATATCTAAAATTAGAATAATTACTAACTTACTCTTTAATAAGAAATAAGACGACATGAAAAAAAAAATTATATTCTAGTAACCACAGACAATCATGTCATTGTCGCGGGTCGCGCCACAAACTATATAGACTTGTGTCGCAGTCGCGGAATGCCGACTGTCACTGTGGTTGAAACGTATTTTCAATTTTGTCAACATTAATTAGTGTTTGGTTTTTAATGAAGTAAATAGTAATAAAATTTTAATTTAGACATGGCTGATGTCGAAGATATTATAATCTACATTAAGTCTTTAAAAAAAGGTTTTGATAAGGACTTGTTTCAAAACAAAGTTGACGAATTAGGATACTTAGTTGAAAACACTGGTTTAAACTATGATGACTTCCATACTCTATTTAAAGTTTGGTTGAATTTAAGTATACGTAAGTATTGACAATTTTATGATATAATTTTAATTTTTGCAACTTAATAATGTTTTTACTCCAATATTACCATCATATCAATTTTGTTTCAGCCATAACAAAATGGGTAAATCTTGGAGCTTGCTTAGTTCCTCAAGAAAAAGTATGTCAAAGTACCATTGAGTATTCTTTAAGGTGGATCCTTGCAAATTATGAAAATCAAAGTAACTTCTCAAGAATCGGTTTTCTTTTAGACTGGCTCACGGGTATGTTAATATTAACACAAATTTTCATAATTTTTTATGAGGAACATTAACAATATCAATTTTATTTTAGCTGCTATGGACTGTGATTCCATTGAAATGGAGGCTTTAGATGTGGGATATGAATTGTTTTATACTATACTGACTTTCGAAACACTTGTAAGTATATAAACATATAAAGGGTTTATTATTTTTATAAATATGAAATATATTAATATTGTTGATTTTTACAGACAGTACATGCTATGAAACTTGTGTATACCTTGACTAAGCCTGCAGATGTGACAAGGAGGAGAGTACTGGAATTACTTGACTATGCTAAAGTTAGAGAAGGAAAGAAAGTAAGTGTTTAACAAATATTACCGTTATAATGGCTGCCTTATTTATTTTTTGTTTATTATGTTGATTGAAACAATGCAATATTGTATTTTTTATTTTTTCAGAATATGTACAGGCAAATTCAAGTATTACTGGGTCTGTTTAAATCATTTAAACCAGAATATGTACCTGAGGATGTACCTTCAATATCAATTTATACTGCATTCAGAAAAATTAATACAACTCTGTTACAAAGATTTAGGCATAGCCAAGTAAGTAACTGTTGGTAGTAGCAGTAATAAATTTATATATTAATATAACAAAGTATAACAACAACTTTTTTCTTTTAGAGTCAGCGGAATAGTTTGAATAATGATACTTATCGGCTCTTTTGGGCTAACCCAATAAATTCAGTAAGTTTTACAGATATTATTTTATGGTATTATATAATAAATAAAATATAAATAAATAATTTTATTTAGATTTTTTGGGTATGATTTCTATTACAGGATGCTGGTAGAAATAAAAAAGCTGAACCATTGGTGCCCAATATGGAGTTTACTCACATAGGGTCAAGACAGTATGATCATGATTGTCAAAAGACATACCTAGATTTTTCTGAGTAAGTAGTGGTTCTCTTGGTTGAGTTCCTTGGTGCATTTTGTCATTTGATATAAAAATATCCAGTTTTCTTTATGATCGGCACCACCATGTGGCAAATTTTATTACTAACAGAAGCATATAGTATTTAATCCAGATCATAGTCTATGATTTATCTGTGTACTAAACATCCAATTCCATCCAGTTCTTTCAATGGGAAAGTGTAGCATACTAACTAACTTTTGCATTTATTATAGCTTTGTGACAACTTATGAAGAGGATCAACAAAATGGCACATTAATTTCATTCATTATTTGAAATTCAAAGTTTAAACATGTTTATATTTACAAAATGTATTTTCACTTTAAAAAAAGCCAAAATTAAGCTAGGTGATTTGTACAGGCAAAATCTATTACTATGGTCATAATATGTCATTTGAGGTTTCATAATATTTGGTATCATAAGCTATATTCTATTTCTATCTATTTCTGTTCTAGTGGCTAGTATATATGTATACTGGTATATAGCTTGTGTTTTCATGCATACTTGTTTACTATAATATCTTCTGTGGATATAGTTATTCTCAGCGAGATTGGCCTCCTTGACTTGATTTATTAATTGACCAGCGATTCATCCTTGCTTCCTTCAGGTTCGTCCCTGGGTACGTTTTAATGGTTAGTATGGAATAGATAGATTATACTTTCTATAAATACATAGGTAGGTTGTTGTAGGACATATTATAATGTGTTTTCCCTTAGAAATGAGATAATCTCCCGTGGTAAAAAGTAGCATATGTCACTCTCCACACTAATGAGTCACTCTTTTTTGACGTAATAGGAGGACAAACATACCAACAACACACACTTTCATATTTATAATGTTAGATTATGGATTATATTGACTTGATGAGGCCATTATAATAATTGTATTTCAGCCCAGTGTCCCTCGTGCAGTACAGTACACAGCACGCAACGCGGCGGCCGGCGCGGCTTCGCGCGCTGCTATGCAATCCGGCAGGGCTAGCGCTCCTCGCGCTAGCCACACGCACCGACCACGACTTCATGTCCCATGAACTACACCATTTGCTTACTAATTGTGAGTCGTGCATAAGAAACTATGTAGGTTTAGGTTCCATAGAATATAAGAAGCAATGTCTCAAGACTAAAGTCTTTGATCAGTGTGTGTGGAGGCAGTGATACGAAACTAAAATGTGATCACTTATGATGGACCCAGTAAGAAAGCTAAGATACATAAAGAACAATCCAGAGGACTATAAAAGTCCAAGGTTTTTCTACAAGAGCAATATAGAAATTAGAAATCAATTGGTTTATTTTTGTCATTATCCAAAATTGCACAAATGTGCATTGATTATTTTAAGTTGTATATCAGACACTATGCTTGTTTTTTTCTAATACGATTTGTTTGATTGAAGATTTTTTAACTGTTTATTTAGTTTTATGTTTGTTTTGAATAATCTCAGTGGACTATTATTGTTTTTCATTATAGGTTTTTTAGAATCATCACCTCACAACTACAAGCAGAAGCAAGATCTGTTGTACAGGCTGGCTATATTTCAGTCCACACTCATGCAAGGTCTTCCTGTTGTAACTTTTTTTTTGGCACAGTTTTTACCATTTTGGAATGAAAAGGACTTTTTTGCAGAGGTATTCCCATTGTTTCAAAGACCATGCGCTATTTTGAATAATTATTTAGTATTTTTTATTAATTTTAAAAGTGATATGTATATATTCAAAATGAGATATTTTTCATATTTTTTGAAAACAATATAAATTATTATTTTATTTATTTTCTAGAAAAATTAAATTAATAATTGTGTTTAAATAATAATAGTAAAATAATGATTTTGTTTAATATTTTAGATCTTGGAACTGGTGGAATGGGTAAATGTTGAGGATGCTGATCGTGTCACTGTCATATTAGATACTTTGTCGAACATTTTCTACAGGGCTGAACCCATGGAACAATGCGCCATATTGAAAAGTTTAACTACTATGTATATGAATTTGGTAAATAAAAATTCAGCATATTCCAGTTATTACATTATTTAAAAAAAGAGTAATTTTAAAATTAATAAAAAATTAATAGTTTGTACAAATAGAGGATTGAGATATACTGTAATATTATCTTGTTTTCTTCATAACATGTTATTTTTATATACATAATTTTATGTTAATTATATTTTTATTTACAATAGGCGTATGCGAGTACTCGACCTCGACATCATTTCCTGAATCTGCAGCCATCTGAAACCACCTATGCAGAGACATTAACTATAATCACTGGAAAAATTAGCGACATGTGTAGTAAAGGCCTGCAAGCTTCCCCAGGTGAGGACATTTAATTCACTTATACAGTTTAGATTTAGAGCTTTACTTATTGAGAAGGAGGTAGTGTTTTACTCTGATATTAGAGATACTTAATGTTATTCTCTTCAGAATGATAGTTTCCTCGCTTTACCTTATCTTAACAAAGAAAATATTTTTATAGGGAATACAAACTAAATGGTAATTGAATGTGAGACCTTTGGTATAGAAGTGCTAATTATTCCTATTATATCTATTGCTATTATATCTAGTCACTATACCACTAAAGTTAAAACAGCTATAATTTTAAATGAAGTTAGTAACTTCTTCACGCTATAATGGCTCAATGGATTGGCTTTCTTTCAACTAACACTTTTACACTGTGCTTACAACGGGACCATTCTCATAGGTCTAATCAATGTATTAGTTTTATTATGTATATAAACAAATCTATCTGTAACTCAATAGGAAGTATGCCTGTGATTTAAATAAAGGTGCATATAATAATATTTTTAATTTTTAATGTAATTTCTTTTTGATTAAGGAAATAATTATTAAAAAGTGCAAATACAGTTGGGAAATTCAAAGTAGTTGAAACGCACGCCATTGGTCAGACTGAATATGACTTCAAAGTATTATCATAACAGAGCAATTTATCGTCATTTTTCTATGTATGATACTTTGACGTCACGACAAGCGCGCGAAATGGCGGGCGTCTTAAGTATCCGTATCGGTATATCTGTCAAATCTGTCAAACTCTAGGGCCACTGTGGACACGAGTGGCGCTAGATAGAGCCCAATGGAGACAGATGGAGGAGGCCTTTGCCAAAAGGCACACAGAAATCAGAGATATCTTGTAAATTCTAAAACAATTTTATCTGAATAACTATGTAACTCTGACTCCTGTAATAAAGGCTATTTTATTTTATTTATTTACCGTTATGTTATTCAAATAAAAATCTTATACTAAATTTTAGGTTTTTTTAAGATGTGTATTTTTTTACAATTATATACTGGTATAAAAATAAAAAAAACACGCATATTCTCTATTGAACGGTATTAAATATTAATGTACTCTATAAATAATTTCCAGATGACATGCGCATGGTGTATAGCACGGTGGTGACGACGGCGCGGGCGGCGCGCGCGGCCTCCCGCGCCGGCGCGCCGCCGCCGCCGCCCCGCACGCTGTCCCTCGCGCTGCCCTTGCTAGCCAGCTCCGGCGCCGCCGTAGATGCCTTAGCTGAACTCATTATGTTGTTAGTATATTCACACAGTGTACATGCTTTTATCTGTACATATAATAAAATTGTAACTACTCAGAATCTGTACATTAAATATTTTTTGGAAAATCTTATTGAAATCGACATTATTATCGATACGGAGGCCGAATCCATAGTTCTTAGAATTTTTGTCTGTTTGTCTATCTGTGACCGCATCACGAAAAAACCACTGAAGTTATTTTGATGAAATTTGGTATGATGATAGCTGGTTTTCCGGGTCAACATATAGGATACTTTTTACTGCGGGAAAATATCTCATCTCTTAAGAAATCTATATTAAACGTAAAAATGTAAGTAGGAACGAATCCGAGCGGAGCAAGGGCGAGTCGCAGTAGTTACAGTATAAAGGATATACAAATGTAAAGGGTTGTCAAAATATACCAATTTTCATGGCGAAATGTTTGGAAGTTAAAGCGTAGTGTTGTAGTGCCATCTCGTGGGAAGGTACAATTGTTTCCGTCAACCCTAAAGTCTTTTCCCGATTGCCATATAAAGTTAGTATGTCAGTCGGGTGCGCCTCACTCGCGTCTTACTTAGCACGCTACGCACGATTACCCTGTCTTGACGCCTCACTACCTACCTACTGCCTACTGTGTGGATTAGTAGACTGTTATCAAATCTTGTGTTCTTTTGATTGTCGTCCCGATTTATGCTTTGTATGTATAATGAAGGACATATGTGGAACCCAGAAGTCAATATAATTATTTTTTACCAATACCATAAAGGCAGTGGTAGCCTAGTGGTAGCGTGCTCGCTTGGGTTCAAATCCCTTGCCTTACGTGTAGGAAAAAACATTGTGAGAAAACCTGCATGTCTGAGAGAATATATTAAGTATTCGAAACACACGTGTAGACCGCCAACCCGCACTTGGCCAGCGTGTATTATGGCCTGATCCCTCTTGTATTGATGGGAGGCCTGTGCCCAGCAGTGGGACGTTAAAAAGGGCTGAATACATGATGTATTCCTGACTGATTCCGGCCACGGCGGCCAATCTCATTGAGACTAGCCAACTGCGCAGGAGATATTATAGTGTACGAGTGTGTGAGCAGACACAAGTGCACTCTCTATTTCTATCACTCTCATACTCCGGTGGGACGACCACTCGACACGACCAGTGAGAGTGTCGGCGCAGGACCGACGGCTTTACGTGCTCTCTGAGGCACGGGGGGATGAAACACCGCCAACTTCCCAACTCCGGGCTCTTACTGAGGCTTACTATACAGAAAGACTCAATAGTTAAACTTGGCCGGACCTGGGACTCGAACCCAGGACCTCCTGATGTGCAGCTGTACATGTTAGCCACTACACCACCGAGACAGTTAAATACAAACATACCATTTAACTAGTCTGATGTTGAAGTCCTCCTGACTTCACTCCTTCAGAATAGTGGAATTAATTAATTACTTATAATAGACGTTTTGAGTTTGGTAAAGTTATAAAAATGTCGATTGGATGTATTTTAAAAGTAACAAGTTGTTGGTATAAAGTGGTTGTATTATAATCTAAATATATTGATTATATGTTGTTTACAGGTACAAAGATGTATTCTCCATTATGAAGGAAAAGATCGGTCGCAATCGAGTCTATAAAGAACAAATGAAAATTCTAAAAGCATTTACATCAGATTTTGTGAGCTGTTTCTGTGAAACGTTCCTAAGCGGTAGGAAGAACGGGCTGATTTTTAGTAACCTACATCCACAGTTGGTCAGCAAATTAACTGATTTAATACCAGATGTGAACTCTAAATTAAGTATACGTAATCATTTGGCTCTGGCGCCGTTTACGTACATTCAGTTAGAGGCAGTGGATCATATAGAAGCAGATAACAAGATGTGGTTTGAGACTGTGGTGAAGCAGGAGTATGATAATTTAAGTCAGTTCATAATGAAGACGATGCTTGACTTATGCTAACATTTGATACAGGTTTTTTGTTGAAAAAAGAAAATAAAACTTTTTTCTTATATACATTCACGATGAACGATCATGGATTGATCGAAAATGCAGAATTTCTGTTCATAGTTGGTTGCTTGTTTGTACAACTTTTTTTGCTACATAGTTGCGTAATCTCGGTTCATCTCACGAGGCACTAATTGAACTTTCTACAGCACGAATGACGAAAGAAACTCCGCGACTCCTCCGGAGTACAGATCCTTTTTTAACTTCTTTAAACTACAAATCAAAATAATTGTTTTTCTAAAAGATAGCAAAAATTCCCATTTTGCTAAATTTTAGAAAAACAATTATGTTTTGTATAAATAATATAACATAGGTATAAACTTTTGATTTAAAAAAACAACTATAGAAGCTTTCTGAACGGTGTCTGAAATTCTGTAATAGAAACGTATTATATTGGTTGTTCATTTACCAATATATTATTGTTATAAGTTGTAACATATCAACACGTAAAATGTTTATCGTACAGACTCGCGAGCCCTTATTTCTAATTTCATTCGTTTTCTGCACGGGTAATACAAATAGTAATAGAACCGCCGCCATCTTGGTTACTCTTGGTTACACTTATTTGTTGCGTGTTCGTGACCTGAATAACGATTAATTTTTCTTATAGTATAGCTGAAAGTGATACTTTTAAATATGTTTGAATTTTTGCATCTAATAATATTTTTAGTGCTAATGTGTCCACCGAATGAATACTTAAAAATAATAAATGCTTTAAACAACGATATGAATAAATATTTTTTATAGTCTATTATAACTATGACGCTTTCTTTAATTTTAATATAATTAGTTTTTAATTAATTATTATGTGTTAGTTATATTCATTAGTAATAAACATACAGAAATTAAGTTTTTTATTTTAATTTTATATTTTTTAGCATGCATAACTTGAACAACATGTTTTAATATAACTTTTTTAGTTATTCATTTTTAGTATTAAAAAATCAGAATTTTTGGATTTGGGTATAATTGATAAATTTCTTTGAATATTTTTACAACATAATGTATTAATTATGTCAAACTTATCTGAATTGTAAAGTGATTTTAACATTGAGTGAAAGTATTTTTATATCAATATTTTAGCATGTAATGATAATAATAGCTTAGAAATACTTTTTAATAAACGATTTTTGATATACATATGTATGTATTTTATTGTTCTACCCATTATACAGTTAACTGACTTAACTTTTATTTTTACTTTAACAAACAAATTGGAATTTTAATAAGAAATATAAAGTAATGCATGTTTATGCATTATGTAAATAAGTCGAAATTCGCGGTAACTGTTGTGGTTTTAAGGGGTATGTTACATGTACTGGTTTTGATTCTGCAGAAGGTGGTAGTTTTTGTCAGTTTGTCCTGGTTTATTTTTGTTAGGTTTGGAAACAGGCACATATTATTTACCCTAAAGTAGGGCAAAATTAAATAGAGTGGTATTATTAATTATACATTAATTTAATAACAATTTTATTTAGGCAGTGGTAGCCTAACGGTAACGCTTTAATCTAGGTCTCGATTGAGAAAATTAGTGAAGTTCAAAGTAGTCCGTTTTTCATGTGCGAAACATTTCCAATATGTTACCATTTGTCTTACGGTGCAGGAAAACATCGTGAACGAATACCTGCATGTCTGAGAGAACGTAATAAGTTTTCGAAAGACGGAGTCTACCGCACTTAGCATGATGGACTATTGCCTAATACCCCTCTTATTGAAAAGAGACCCGTGCCTAGCAGTGGGACGTTAAAAAAAAGAGCTGAATACATTGAATACAATTTTATTTTAAGTATAAATATATTAGCTTATCCAATAGTTTTCAATAATTGCTATCTCCTACACCTAAAGGTTGCCTGGAAGAGATCGCTGTTTTAGCGATAAGGCCGCCTCTTGTACATTTCTGCTCTGTGTTTATTTATTTTTCTTGTATTCTTGGTGTACAATAAAGAGTTTATTATTTTTATTATTATTAATTGACGGCTTTCTGAGCAGCGATAATATCAATTAAACTTTGTATTTATACAACATGCTTTAATACCTGCACGTGTCCTCAATGACAATAAACCATAATGAGAAAATGAAGCAGCGTTTGTTTTAATCTAGACTAGATCAATCGTTACAATATATTATGTAAATAAATATCACCTCGTGTGAACTCACGACCTCCGACGTACTATGAGGCGCCAGTAACACGCGTCACACTGCTCTAGGTCTAGGTCGCACATAGAATTATTAGAACGTCGAACGTATTAAAAGGAATTTAAATCCTCTTTATTTATCTAAGTATGCACTTGATGTTAGTTTTTACCCAACTGCGGCGAAGCCCAAAGGATGGTGTTGATTTACACGTCGTAAGATTCGTTTAGATAACGCACGTATTAGCTACATGGATATCAAACTAAAATTAACCGACCAAAACTAAAAAGGTGTAAATAATAATAAAAAAAAAACATTAAACAGTCTTCGTAAAAAGTGTAAAAGGATGAAAACAAGATGAAGGAAAACACTATTTTACAGTCGCAAACACGCAAGCAATTACTATTACTAATTATTTTACAGCAAGTGACTGCATAATATGTACCTAACTACAATGTTTCTTCGTCAACTTGTTTCCATCTTTAATCTTTTTAACCGACTTCCAAAAAAAGAGGGGGCTCTATGTTCGTCTGTATATTCTTTTTTTATATTTTTTTTGTTTACCGATTTCTAGGGACCGGCTTAGGATTCGGCTTGACCGAATTAGCTACTTTGAACGATATTGTATTAAAGTAAGTCCCGAGGTGGTGTAGGTGGAGTGGATGTGATTTTCGAGAGAATCAGGAAAAACCAAGTATGTTAAAAGATTTCCTTAGACTTTTTTACTTACTTCTAATTGTCATATCGTCGACTTCAAACTTTACAAGTGTTTGTAATTCCGATGATAGTATAGTAATTTGGTATCTTGGAGCTGATCTTATGGTGAGGCCAGAAGATGGTTAGTAGAACTCTTCAACGGCTCCTAGTAAATAGTTTGAATTTGGGCATATTTGATTTAATTTAATAAGCTCAATACGTTAGAATTGGATTTTAGAGCTTGGTTCAACCGACTTGCAAAAAGAGATACACAGATTTTTCGAAGGCGGCTTGACTGATTTTGCTACTTTAAACTGTATTCTATTAAGGTAGGTCCCGCGGTGGTCCAGTATTTTTTTTGTTACAGAATTTACCGTTTTCGAGAAAATCAGAAAAAAAACATGAAATTTGAATTATATTCACAGATCTACTTATTAGTCTTTTTTACCTGCTTCTAATTGTCACAACGACTTGAAACTTTGCAAGTTTTTGTATTTATGATAATTAGTATAGATATTTGGTATCATCGAGCTGATCTGATGATGAGGCCAGGAGGTGGATAGTGGAATTCTTCAACACCTGCTAGTATATACTTCGAGTTTGAGCTTATTTGATTTCATTTGACAATCCTAATATATTAGAATTGGATTTTCGAAGTCGGTGCCAGTCGATGCAAACCAAAGCAAATCTATTTCGATATGTATTTTAATTCGATATTTTAACTATTATTAAAGTTCATACCTTGTCATGTTTACCTATTAAATATTCATATCTTAAAGCATTGTCGACTGGCACCGACTTTGAAAATATCTGATTAGATATTTATTGTAAATGAAAACCCCCGTTCAGTAATTTTTTACGTTTTAGTGCATGGAACTCGGTTTTTCAAAGTTTTTGTTAGTACACTTTTTATATTTTGATTAAAACAACAATCAATAACTAAATCGATTTATTTGTTAGAACTTTTTTTATATTTTTTTATAATTTGTTTATAATTTTTCTGGACATTATATTATAATACTAGTAGATGTGTATTCGCGATGTGGTGGTGATAAATTGGTGAAATTTTAATTAAGGACGAGATGAAAGAAAATAAGAAGTCTAAATAAGCTTGAGTGCTTCGGTCTCCATTAATTACAGTTTAAAAAAGCATTTTGAGCACCTCCCTGCACGGTGGGTCCGGGGTGCAGCCCAATGTTACCTACGGTTCTACAATATTCAGTGAGGTATTATGTGTCTAGTGTCCCTGCCTTGATCTGTACTGGACTCGGGACAGGGTGACTAGGTGTGTCATTTGTTTCAAAATTTTACGCAGTTTTTTTTCCATCAAATCATACTTTTAAGTAGAATAAAATAAATAGGTAGAATAGATGATTTTCAGCTAAGTTTCATTTTCCACTCTACCCAAAGTAAGTTGGAACCAATCAACATTTATACTTACATCATGGTTGCTCACCAATTGTTTTAAGCAACCTTACATAAACTTCTGTAAGATTACTTTAAGATAATTAAGTTGAGCTGAATGTTTTCTTTTGCACATTTTCAGTATGTTTGATTCTCAATCGAAATTTTCTTTTCCATTTTCTCTTATTTCTGATGCTCATTTATGTTTCGTGGTCCGCTCAAAAGCATAAATTATGGATGCCTTGGTTGGAGAGTGCCACGTAGCAGGGTGTCGCTCTGGGACCGCCCACCCTCGCCCCCACTCGATGAGAAATGTTTCAGGGACTTTTATATCCTTATGCCTCTTTTTGTGAGTGATAAGGAAATCGTGTTAATCGGATTCAGTCATTTTAATTTTTGACAAATGATTTTTTTATCTTATAAATATATAGATCCGTTGCTTTTATTTAATTTTAAACTTTATTACATCTAGTATTAAGTGTAGATATATTTTATTTCGAGACCAGTTTTATTTTATCTTTGAATTTACAATAACTATTCATAACATTAAGGTATAGGTATATATATGTATATGTATATTAAATCAACAATATTTAAGAAGAATAGAGGGAAACAAATAAAATTAAGTACTTTTCACTGAATGGCCTATTTATTTCGAAAAACTCACTTTCTAGCGTAAATAATTAAATTATTTTTAGAAGAAAAGATGTAACAAGTCA